CTTTATCGGTTACAAATCAAAGGGATTAGAAGAATTGAATGGGTGCTCTCGTGGAGAACTTGCTTATGACCGACTTGCTGGCGCACTACCGCGGGAATGACGAGTGCTCCTTACTTCGGGGGGCCAGTCGCCTCGCCTTGCGACGAAATCGCTTGAAACAAAGACGATAAGGCGCCTCAGAAAATGGGGGAAAGGTCAATCGAGCGAACATCGCGCTTTTGATACAGATTTTATAATCTATTAAGACAACGGAGGAAGTGAAAAATACTTGTGACGAGAAATCGAAATGTCATTGATAATAGAGGAGTTGAAAAATTGAGCAATTGGATGAGATGGGGAGAACAACAGGAGATGAATCGGAACGGCATAATCATTCGTTTAATTGCCAAACTCACTGTAGAGCTGGCATTTGCCAGGATTTTTTGTATTGTTTTTGTATTGTTTTTCGCAACTTTCATTAATACATTTTCTAAATTTCCTCATTTGTTCTTCATTGATTTGAATCACTCGTGATTGAAGTAAAGAGAAGATAAATTATATTATGTCGAGAAGTGAAATAGAAAAATTGGTCTAACCAAGAGTTTATTTACATAGGACAATTCTCAAGTATTTTGGGCACAAATTCTGATTTGTTTTACAGTACTTATTGTATTGATTTATTCTGCATGTGATTAATTGATCAATTAGTCAGTTACCATTCTTTACCGTACAGTCACTCGGTAACATTATTATTCCATCGTCAAAATTCGTTTTGTTTATTTTTTATGTGATTGGATATCTGTAGAGAAGCGGTAGAGCGAGATTTTCAAAATTTCATCCAGAGTATTTTGCAAATATCTCAGAAACTAATGGATTCAGAGAAAAACGTCAGAAGACATTTCTGAGATATTGACAAGATAATGCTTGTACCACTTCCCCACAGAAATAAATCAACTAATCATGTCAACCTACTCCCGGGGACACCAAGTCATTTCTAATATCTTTAAAAAAATAAATAAATTTCGTTAACATTGATAAACGTAGGGATAAAAATTTGAGTATTGAGCTAGGCTTAATTGAATTTAAATTTTGTAAACATTATTAGCACAGGTATAACTAACAACGTGTAAAGGCTATATTCATTCAAATTAATAACAAATTTCCACTATCTAATGTGTTCTATAGTTTCTCAGCCACTGAGTTTTTAATCCTCAATTCACCTAGTCACCCCTAGGCTCCAGGCCCTCATTAAATCTCGCCCCCGTTCACGTATCTCCTAAATTCATGGAATTTTCCTACCTCTCATTGAGATTTAACTCTCTACAACTTTTTTTGTTTATTTCTCATGTGTTAATTCTTTAATTTTTGGTTTAGGTTTAGTAGACCTAATTCTTTGACGCGTGTGATTAATTTTAATTTCTAATCCTAAATGCGGGCGGCATTCCATTATTTTTCATGAATCATCTCTGCAGGGATGTGACAATATATAACAAAATCGAAAAGTCGATGTCTACATCCTGCTAAATATGGAATTATCTCCGTAATGCGGGAAAATCTCTTAATTAATTCGTCTGCAGATCATTATCGCCTTATCAACGTTAAATCCCTTGCACAGCCGATAAAATCTCTAATCATCATTTCTACCATGAACATTAAGGCTGGTATTGAACATCGGGCCTGAATTCTATCCGTTTAAGACTCCCACCAACATCATCTTCTTATCAATAAATCATTGGCCCCAATTCCCTGACGCAAAACGCATTCTTATATCACCAAACAAACATGTCTCAACGCAACTCCCATGCTTTAGATACACAAAGAATGGAGAAACTCGTTGAAATCCTCGTGCTCACGAATGATAAATAAAATGAAAAAACCTGCGAAATAGCCTTCGTCTCTCGGAAACTTCAATTTCGCGAGTTGTATTTTTAGTTGCGATTCCATTTATTTTAGTATGGAAGGAAGGGGCGAGGATAACTGCGTGTAACGAAGAACGGCGCCTACCAGTGATTCCAAAATAAAATAAAAAGTGGAAGAAGAAAACATTAAATTCAAGGAAAAGATAGGGCAAAATACACCCTGATAAATCTAGGATAACTCGTGACTCAATAATGCGATTCAGACGCATTTGCTCTCATTTCGAAGAGTAACAAATTACCTTCAAAATGACCTGTCACTCGTTAGATTGCTCTCTACCAATCCCGAGAAATTAACAATTAAGCAAAGAAACAAAAAACGAGAATAAAAAAGAAAAACAAAGAACTAAACCTTCTTTAATCCCGAATATCTTCGGACACAACGATGCGACTTTGACGTATTTGCTCCCATTTCAAAGAGTAATAAAATACCTTGAAAATGACTCGTCACTCGTAACATTTCACTCTACCGATCCCGAGTCATCGGCAATTAAACACGGATTCAATTGCAAACTTAAAAAATGAGAAGTCAACTCAGTTTTAGAATTAGTTTTTAGCGAATATCTTCATATCCAAGGGAGATATCAAAATTTCCGTGAGAACCACATTTGCAGAACACAATGAAAGCTACAAAAAAGGTCCTTACAAAAAATTCACTATCTCCCTCAGATCCCAAGATAATCATCAAAACCTGAAATCGAACTCTCTTCCGTTTCATCACTTCCCGGATCCAGGAAAACAACGAAAAAAATGAATTAACACTTCAATTACCTTTGACTCGCCTGTCGATACCACTTCTTGTGCCCCGTTGGATCCTCATGATGCCCCGAGGGTCGATCTCCGTGCGATTTGCAGTTCTCCAGGTCCATAATCAGCTAAAAAAATGATAAACCGTGCGAATTCTCAATCATTTCATCTCAAAACCACCGATTTCCCTCGATTTCATTATCATCGTAATATGAACAAGACCCCCGATGTTTACACCAACATAATAATGCCAAAAACAAACATCTACTGAATAATTCACGAACAATCAATGAATAATTAGCGCGTGAGCCGCTTTCTCCGTGCTAAACTCCCCGAGACAAAAAAAAACTGTTCATTCGGCACTTTCATTCACGAAAAAACAACAATTAATACTTAACTGACACCCACGCGATAATAACGTCAACACTTACGTGTAGTATATCGAGAGGACACGTTTGACAACTGATCCGGCGTGATTGACACTTTTGTACACTTATATTTTCGGCTAAATAAATACCGAGTACACGAGCGAGTGACTTGTCATCGAGATAAACGGGTGAATGGGGGCAGGACGGGTGGGCTAGCTAGCGCCCGAGGCGGCGTTGGGGGGAACTAGGGGTGACAATGCGCAAGGGGACTGCGCAGGACGCGGAAGGCAGCGGGAAGGTGTTTGAACGCTCGTAGTAGCAGTCAAAGCAGTTTTAGTTTGGGTTTTAGACGGGTTTGAGCATCTTCTAGAGGACTTTGTGGGCGATGGGGCGGGTGGAGTGTTTGAGATGGTGGCATTGGCAATGGGGGGAGTCGTGAACGTGAGATGACACTCGTAATTGACGTCATTGAGGAGACATAACAGCTCTTTTCGCGTATAAATGACACGCGCTGGTGTCGCGTGGCAATTAGTCGACCTCGAGTGACGGCGGTATTTCTAGCAATGAAGATGAGTAATAGGCGGGGTAATGTGGGTGGCATTCGTGGAAATTGGTGTTATGGTGGGAATGTATTTGCGGGGGGTGGAGAGCGAGGGGTAGAGGTGGATGCGGACGCAGGAATTACGCTTTTGGATTGAATGGATTACTTTATTTTGAACTCGTCGCTTTATTTTATTAGTTTTTTTACTGGAAATTCAGCTCTCTGGTTTGATGATGAGGCTTTTGTTGGAGGAAGTGAATTATGAAAGCAATTCACTCAGTCGGTTGAGGAAATTCTTTAGTAGAATTAAATAGGCGATTTATTTCATCCTGATGAAGGGGTGTTATATGTTAATATATCCGTTGTCTTTGGCATCTGAATAATTATTTCATTTCTAGTTGATGGAACCTTTGTTTGGATCGAGGAAACCATTTTTTGCTACTGTTGCTGGGTTGGAAAAAACTAACTTGTTTAATGAATATTGAAAGATGGCATTTTTCAAGGACATACATGACACCGAAGATATCAGACTGCCGACTCTAAAAACTGAAATTTTTTTTTGTGTCTAGTCGTTTTATCAAAAAACTTGAAGAGGCTTTTTTCCACGAAAACATCCCCTTACATTCCCTCCTAAATTCCTTTCCCTTCAGAAAATACTCTAGTCTATTAAATATTCTATAATTGTCACCAATGTTCACCGTGTATCTGATACTATCCATGAAAAAAAAACAAACTTGTTTAGTGAAGATTGAAAGATTGTATTTTTCTAGGACGTACATGACACCTTAAGGATGTCCAAGTACTTCGACTATTGTTTCTCTAATGAAATGCTTTTCTATTTTTGTAGTTGAACAAAATTTAATAGAAAAAGCTATCGAATTCGTTAGAAAATTCTATTGAATTTCTATTGAACTGTTTATTAGTTTTTGGTCGATTCTATTAAAATGTTCAATAGACAATATTCAGTAGAAAAAGTCAAGAGAATTCAATTCTTCTGTATAACTTATTCTATTGAGATATTTTCTATAGAATTTTCTCGGCTCAAATTTTCCAAGTTTTTTCGTTTGATTTTCTTGATGAGAAAAAAAGAAAAATTGAATGAAAAAAACTTGGAAAATTTGAGTCGAGCAAATTCTATAGAAAATATATGAAAAGAATAAATTAATAGAAAAAACGAATTCTGTTGACTTTTTCTATTGAACATGTCAATAGAATCAGCCAAAAACTAATAGAAAGTTTAACAGAAATTGAATAGAATTTTCTAACGAATTCGATAGGTTTTTCTATTAAATTTTTTCGTGCGTGATCCCTTTCCCTTCAAAAAATATTCTACTCCATCCCCGCCCCTGCACCCACCCCCCAAACACTCCACAATAAAAAACCAATCCACAAAAACCAAAACAACCAAATAAATACCGCACCTGGCGGATGGTGGAGGGACGAATAAAAGGACGATTTGAATTTCCGTTAGGTGGTCTCTCGTTCCCGTTGTAGGCGGCGGTGGAGTAAGGTGGCGTTCGTGATGTTGAATATGTCGTAGTTGCCCGTAGTTCTCGGTTGTTCACTACCTGAGGTGTTACCATATATCGAGGTAAAATCTGGAGCCTCGCGATAGCACTCGCCCCCTTCATTTCCCAATCGAGTAGCTCTCTCTTCCAAAAAAAAAAAATCCAAAATGTCCCAGAGTTCCCCAAGGCAATGGGACTCACCGTGCTCCGTACGTTAAGCTGAGGACCCGAGCGAGTGCGAGTGAGAGAGTAACGAAAAAAAAACCGCTGGAGAGAGAGTGCTGGAGATTACGGAATTATTTGGGCGCGATCAACTGATTTAATTCCATTTTAAAAAACTCGACAACAAAAACAACTTCGAGTCGCGACGACTAGACGTTGACTCAGTGGGAGTATGTATTAAGCATCCTATATTGCCTTAAATTAATCCGATTTGGGGGTGACCTCGAGTCTCGTTGTAATGTTCTCCCCCAGCATAACCTAGAATGAACGAAAAAAAAAAAAAGATTCAGGTTTAGACGAGTAACGAGAGACACGTCGATTTGCACGTCAGTAGGCGCTCACCATAGACCCGGAACTGGGGGGTTCATTAATCATTTATTTTCCGTGCACTTGAGCTTATTGTTATGGACTCACCTCTGTGACAATTGTCACCAATCACGTGTAATCGTTGGTGGTTTATAGTTGTGTTCTAAATAAGTTTTCGAGGGAGAGGTGGGACTGGGTGGATTTAGAAGGCCCTGCCCATATTTTTTGCTCGGTCGGGGAGGGGTTCCGCGGGGGTTCAGGGTTTTTTCGTGTTTTCCGGGTGTGTTTTCGCTCGTTTTGAGGGGCTGAGGGTGTCCGGAGGGCTTTGACGGTCAGGGGGATCAGGGGACGACATAACCTTAAGGATGTCGCAGGGGGCTCAGAGACTTTTAATTCGCAGAGAAATGAAAATATTTACCTAATCATCATTTTGTGATGTTTCGCTAATTATTTTGGCTTCATCAGACTCATGACTCGATTAATGTTTAGTCTCGATAATATCTAAATTAGGTATGTGTGGAGACATAGCTAACCGCATTGTTAAATGCACAACACAAACACTGTTAAAGTTTTTTTGACATTTCGTGGAAGATATTATAGTAGATCTCATAAAAGAGTGACATTGAATCGGATTTAGGGCAAAAATTGTTATCCCAGCTAACAATTTACCGATCTTGCTGGGCACTTTTAGATGGCATCCGTAAAAATTGTTCTCTGGGATGAAATTTCAAGTTTTAATCAGAATTCACGGAAATTCATTAGTTTTCAGGCGGAGTGAGATAGAAATTTCACAACTTGAGTGAATTTTCAGTGGAACATTCATATTCAGAAACAAAATCACATGAATTTTCTATTTTTTCCTGAATTTTTCGGATTTTTCTGAATTTTCACAGAATAATTGAACTGAAAAAATCAAGTATTTTATTGATTTCCAGATCATTTGAACAGAAAATCAGTGGAATATTTGATTTTTCAATTGCAAGGTTTCCTGAAATTTTAGTGGAACTTGAACACGATGAAAATTTCCGAAATTTAGCGCTGAAAATTCAGTGGAAATTTTTTAACAGTGAACAACAGAAAAAACGGCAATAGCAAGGACCGAATAGTTCCTCCTCGGAGATCACAATAACAACCGTGGCAGACTTTTAATGTTTTTTGTTTGGGAATTGATGATTCCCTTGGAATTGATTGATTGGATTTGAATGATTGAATGGAGGGGTTAAAGAACGGGTATGAATTTTTGTAGATTACTCTGAACGCGTTTATAGAATGTCTGCATAATAATGTTCAGGTTTAGGAGGGTTGAATATTCGTGACGTTTTTAAGACGGGACAATAGTTCGGATGAAATTGAAGCAATCTTTTTAGTTAATTATTGCATATTGCATTCGTCTCTTCGGATAATTAAGTAACTTAGGAAATGTACAGGTTCTCCCTTTCAGTGGAGTTCATTATTCTGCACACTTCAATTTTTTTTAATACACAATATTCGTAATTCTTTTAAACCCATTAATTATTTATGTACATGTAATTTTTTATGTTTTCTTTTCCTTAATTTTATGATTTTAACTGCAACAAATTTTTATTACACTTGCAAATGATGCTTTGTTTTTGAAGAAATCAATCAGTCAATTATGTTAAGTAATTAATTAAGTACCTGTGACACAATCAAAAATAGTTCTGATGAATTTGAAGCAAGTCTATTGAATTAATTGTTAATTATTCTGCACTGTCAATTTTTTTTCAGGATTTTGTTTACTTTGATAATCCAATAATACACGATATTTGTACTTCTTTCTACCACATATTTACGTTTATTTACGTTCATGCAAATTTTCATGTTTACTTGTACTTGATTTTATGATTTTAGTTGCAATAAATGTTTGTTACACATGCAAATGACCTTTTGTTTATTTATTTATCCATAACTGAACACCAGTATTTTAGTTGAGTTGAAGTTTAGAAGTGAGGTGACTGGGGTAAAATGGTATTTCCGAATGTGCAATATCTCGAGAGCTTCTGCGATTATTTACACGAATTTGATCTCATTTTGAAGTGTATGAACACGAATGAAAAAATCGTATAGAAGGTTTTTATACGGATTACGTACAGAATTTCTATAAGATTTTCGTATATGGTATTCGGATATTTCCATTACAGATATTGTTTATACAAATTATTCCTATGCGATTTCTATAGGTTTGATCCTATACGACCCACTGCCACATGTATAGAAACATTTCGTATCGAGTTGCGACATTTCTCTACGTTTTTCTCTGGAGCGTTGACATCTTTCGTATGAAAACAGAAATTTATGTAAAAATTTATGTATAGAAATAATTCGTATAGAAAACATTCGTATAGCAATATCCGCAAATCCTATAGAATTTCTATGCGCAATTCGCATAGAAAATTTCTATACGATTTTTTCATACGTGAAACTCTTGAGAATTGCAAATAATTCGAGTGAATTGAATCTACCGATCTCGAGATATTGACGATCAAAGAGAATCCGTTTTATTCCGTTATGTTTGTGTGTACATATTGGCGGTATTTTTGGTAATCGAATTAGGGGTTCTGGTTAATGGGCGACTATGGACGAGAGGGCTGAGAGACTGTGAAGAGGACTGAGAGGTATGGTGATATTGGAGTGAGGCACTTGGCGAAACAACTGGGGGATTACAAAGGATTCGCGTTATTTGGGGGATATTGAGGATGAATAATCAGGCGTTTAGCTTGGCCGAGAGGCTCATCCCTTCGACCTATGTACAGCAGGGATTGAATGCTAAAAAAACGAGGGAAAATCTCATTCGACATTTCATTGAACATGTGAGTAGAATTTTCTTGATCAAAATTCAAGCGGCGGAGTTGATCGGAGTGAACGATAAAATATTGGAAAACCTTTTTGCAGGAAATTTCAAGGACTTCAAAAATGGTTTTCTTATGTTTTTTCAGGCAAACTTTCATTTTTTGAAATATTTTAACAATTATTGCCCCGCAAATTTTTTGATTTCACTTTTTTAATATTTTTTATAAATGGAAAAAAAATGTAATTCAATTGAAATTTCAATTTATTTAACTGTCTTTTCATTCTTTCATTGTTAACAATGGAAATAAATAAATAAATGAATCGTTAATTTTAAATACGAACAAAACGGGAAAAAATCTTATTCGAAATTTCATTGAAATGAGAGTCGAATTTGCTTGATCGGAATTTGATGGGTGGGTTTGATCAGAGTGAACGATAAAATATTGGAAAATCTTTCTGCAGGAGATTTCAAGGACTACAAAAATGATTTTCTTATGTGTTGTCAGTCAAACTTTCAATTGTTTGAATATTTAAACAATTATTGCTTCGTAAATGCTTAAATTTCACTGTTTTAATATTTCTCATAAATATAAAAAAGTTTAATTCAATTTAAATTTTAATTTACCTAATTATTGATTTATTTATTCATTGTACACAATGGAATTTAATAAATTAATGAGTCGTTGATTTTAAATAAGAAAAAAACGTGAGAAAATCTCATGCAACATTTCATTGAACACGAGAGTAGAATTTGCTTGATCGGAATTTGATGGGTGGGTTTGATCAGAGTGAACGATAAAATATTGGAAATCCTTTTTATATGAAATTTCAAGGACTAAAAATGGTTTTCTTATATTTTCCAAACAAACTTTCAATTTTCCAAAGATTTAAACAGTTATTGAAACGCAAATTTTGAAATTTCTCCCTTATTTCATATTTATTAAATAATTTGCATGTAATTTTTTTTAATTGCAATTTCTGTTTCTTCTGTTCGCGAAGTTTGTAATTATTCATTTATTTATTAATTTCCATTTCCGCTGTGTCCAATGAATGAATACATAAGTGAACAGTTAATTTCACGATTGTTCTGCAATAGAAGGAGAAAAAATTGGAATTGAAAAAATTAATGAGAAAATTAATTAATTGTAAAATGTCTTGAAAAAATTATAATTCTGAAGATTCTATCTCAATATTAATTAAACTGGCAACATTTGCTACCACTCAGTCTCTCAATGCTCACGTAATTAATGTAACTAATTACATTACGTAAAATACTTTGTAATCGATGATTGAAATTGATCCGAAATCCAGCGAAAATGGCCGGAGGAGGGATGGGACGATGCAACAATCGAGGCATTTCTCTCAGACCTATCCCAGATGGACAGCAACAATTTTCCCCTCAATTGCAGTGTTGGGGAACGCGAGTCACGTATAGTATCGAATCTCGTTGCGAGACGTCATTTTCGAATGGGCCACGGTATTGGAAGATCGGGAGATCTCGAGGAGGTGCAGCCGAAGGCTGCCGGTAGCAGTCTCATGTACAAACTAACTAATGCACTTGTTCTCGAAGTAATTCGATATATGGGTAAGGATTTCCTATTTACTGAAGATGATACATAATAGCTGATGGTCTTTACGATGAAGTTTATGATAAAGTGTCTGCATCCAAGCGAGATAGCGAAAATTTCATGCGAAATTTTCTCGGAGCTCTTAGATATTTGGAAATAAACTTACCTTTAAATATTTTTCAATCCTGTTTTATCCCGCTCACTCACTCATTCACTTCACTATTCCATTCTAATTAAATATGTGAGAAATCTTTTTTTTACGTAAGAATTCGAATTCGGTAGACAATTCAGTAGCGAAGTGGTGAAACGGTACAAGTTAATTTTGACCGTTGACCAGTTTTCAATAAATATCTCGGAATCTAAGAGAGATGACAACATTTTTGTTATAACCTTTTTTGTACAGCTGAATGAGAGCTACAACAAACCTAATTACGAAAATTTCGCTATCTCCCTTAGATTCGGAAATATACCTCAAAAACTGAACTGGGAGATAAGTCGACTTAAACCGTTTCACCACTTCGCTACAAAATTCTATTGGATTTCTATGGAATTTTTCATTATTTTATCCGTGGATTCTATAGAAAAATTGCGCTGCTTATCTATTGCGCTTTTTTCAATAGAAATGTTCGACAGAAAATATTCCACAGAAACCGAGTGAAAAAACTTTTGAAATTCATTTCAATGAATTTCTATAGAAAATTTCTCAATAGAAAAAGTTGTATAGAATGATGAAATTTTACTGATTTTTTTCTATAAATTGTTTCTATTGGATATTCTCTATAAAAAAAACTCGGAGTGAAGCGGAATTCTTCAATAAATTCAACCAAAAAGTAATGGAATTGTCAATAGAAGTTCAATAGAAATCGATCCATCGCTTTAGTAAGTGATGGCTCAGTCCATTTTTTCATTGATTAAATGGTGAATTAGTGAATAAATTAATTCATTAATTCACGTACAATATAAAAATTAAAGAAAAACCTAGTGAATTCGAAAGAGCTAGCAAATTCTATTGGATTTCTATTGAGCTTTCTATTAGTTTTTCGTGGATTTTCTATAGAAAAATTCCACAGTTTATCTATGCTTTTGTCAAAAGAAAAGTTCAATGGAAAATATCCTACAAAAAACCGAGATTAAAAACTCAATTCATTTCAAGGAATTCCTGCAGAAAGCGTCTTAATAGAAAAAATTGTACTGAAATGCGACATTTCACTAATTTTCTACCAAACAGTTTCTATCGGACATTTTCTATCTAAAAAAACGCCCAGTAAAGCTGTGGAATACTTCAATAAATCCGCCAAAAACAAATAGAACTCTCCACAGAAGTTCAATAAAAACCCAATAGAATTTTCTATCGCATTCTCTAGGTTTTCCCATAATTTTTTTCGCACAAATGTCAATAAATATTAACATTTCAGGAGTAAAAAGCATAGCCGGTTGCTTCCTCTCCCCAATGGCCACAGGCATGAGCCTCGTTCTGTGCATGCTGACCCTGAAACAAGACAGACCCCGAGCAAAATACGTCCTTTGGCCCAGAATCGATCAAAAATCTAGCTTCAAATCGATAATAACAGCAGGACTCGAACCAATAGTCATCGAGATGCAGATTATCGGGGATGAGCTCAAGACCGATATGCAGAGACTAGAGTCCCAAATGGCTGCACTAGGCGAGAGCATCGCTTGTGTATTATCGACGACTAGTTGTTTCTCCCCAAGGGCCTGTGACTCGGTCGATCTTATTGCTGCATTGTGCACTCAGTATAATATTCCACATCTGGTCAATAATGCTTATGGGTGAGACTCATTATTATCATGACAATTAATCCCAGGGATTCTATGACAATTCTCCAAATGAGTCAGTTAATTCGATAATTTCGAATAGTAACACATTCTCGAATTAAATAATAATTTTATTAAATTGTTACTAGAATTATGAAAAAATTCTAGTTGTTTTTATTTTATGGAATTTTTTAAGGGATACCTATTCTCTTGAGATTTTTTCGATTGACATTTCTAAGCGTAAATAAATAATTTATTATTAAATAAATTATTTTTACGCGTAAATAAATTTTCTAACGTTTGTATTTTTGCGTGTTATTACGACAGAAAAATCAACCCCTACTGATTTTTTATAAAAAAAGATATTTGTTAGAAAACGCACATTGAAACTGGATAATTTTTTCAACAGAAAATCGCACAAAAAACGAATAGAATGTATCGTATAAATTGAATATCATTCCGATTGAACTCCAATAGGATTCCTTAGAGAAATTGCGAGATTTTCCGTAGATTCTTCTATTATTCTCTCCACGGTTTTTTTATAAAAATTACTAGGCATGAATTTTCTAACATTTGCATTTTTTTCATCCCAAAATTCAAGGAATGAAACTTGAGCAATTCATCCCTTAAAATTCTTCTAGAAGAAAATCAACAGAATAAATTACATAGAATAATCAACATCTGCCAGCATTTTTCTACCAAAAAATATCTATTGATGTCTATTCCAATAGAATTTCTAGCGCTAGATTCTTGTGTTCAATTTTTCCCATCCGTGAATATTTAATTCAAACGCTTTTACAACTTTTACTCACGAATTTCTCTTCCACCGTGAAAACAGAAATGCAATAGAATTATCCTAACGTAATTTGCAACATTTGAAAATTGATAACAATTGTTCTTCCAGACTACAAAGTACCAGATGCATGCATCTGATTCAAGAGGCCTCGCGAAAGGGTCGAGTGGATGCATTTGTCCAAAGTACAGACAAGAATTTCCTGGTGCCAGTGGGTGGAGCAGTGATAGGTTCATTCGATAAAAACCTGCTGGATCGAATTTCAAAAATGTATCCAGGTCGCGCAAATGCAAGTTCCACGATGGACGTTATGATAACATTATTGAGTCTGGGAATGGCGGGATACAAGCAGCTGATAGCCCAAAGGAAGGAGATGTACGCGTATCTGAAGGAAGAGCTTGGGAAACTGGCGACGAGGCACGGGGAGAGACTGCTCGATACCAAGGGGAATCCCATATCGATGGGCATGACGCTGCAGTGCTTGAGCCATCAGCATGATCACAAGCAAGTCACCATGCTGGGCTCCATACTATTCGTGAGGAACGTCAGTGGGGCTAGAGTCATCACGACGACTGATGTTAAACACGTTGTATCACATAAATTTGAAGGTAATTGCTGTGTGATTTTTTTTTCTTGTAATACAAATATCCCACTGAATTTCAGATAACATATGTTTGAAGGATATTTATGGGAGGATTTTCTAAAGATGTTAGAAAGGATTGCATTTAGAGCATTTTGTGGGGTACGAAATAGTTCAATTGATAGTTTTAAATAGTTTTGAAGATATTTTTAAAATACTTTGAAATAAAATCAAGCCAGCTGAGATATTTAAAATATGTTTTTTAGATATGTTTGGAACGAAGAAAATTGAAGAAAATATTCAGAGAATTTTTTCATATTTTTCTCTAAACCTAGTAGTTTTAAAGATATTTGCTAACAGATTATATAACGGTCTTGAAGATATCTCTGGAACAAGTGGATTTAGACAAAAATGTTGAAGAACATTTTTGTAGAAAACTTTATTGGCTATAAAAAACCATTGTGACATTTTTTTCTTAATCCACTCGTTTTTAAGATTTTTGTAAACGACTCTGAAACCAAATAAAACAAGCCCAAGAAAATTCACCATCGCTTTTTGAGCGATAACTCTAAAACAAATAGTTTTACGGTAAAATATCAGATAACCTTTTTTGTAGCCCTGAAAATTTTCTACAAAAAAGTTTATGTGACATTTTCCTCTCAACCCCTTGCGTTACGAGATAGTCCCAAAATCCCCTGCAATTATATTTTTTTCTGAACAAAAGTCGTGAAAATTCCTTGAAAAATGATTGTGTGCTTAATAAAACGATCAATTCATCAAACAACATTGCAGGCTGGGGAGCCCACAACAGTAACTACCCAATCCCATATCTGACAGCAGCAGCAGCCCTAGGGATGAAGCGTTCAGACGTAGACGCCTTCATCCAGCGTCTGGACAAAGCCCTGACAAAAGTCCGGAGGCGTTCAGCCCCAGTGACCCCAACAGCCTCCCTAGCAGGCTCCAGTATCAACGGTGACGCAAGCAATCCTGGTGGACCCGGTGAATCCTCCACCGCGTCCACCAGCCGAGCGAGTAGCAAAGACAGCCTGCGAAAATGAACCGTAATCAACGCAACTGGCCAGTCCAATCAGCACATTAACATCAATTTGTAAGCGATGAATTTTCTGTGCTGATTCGTCTGTCCAATTGCGTTGAGATACCGAGTCTATTCATGAATAAAATTTCAACAAAACGAGGGAAAAACTCAGTGTTTTGGTTGAGGGGAGGAAGCGCTGGTCGCTTGGAGATTATTGAGGAACGAACAATTCTTACGTTCTCTGAACATTCATTTGTTACTGATTATCGATCACTGTTGATAATTAACTTTGATTATCCTGCAATAATGTGTAATTACAATCCTTCAATATTTTCAATGCACGTTTGATATTTATATTCAATAGTGAAGTGGTGAAACTCAACAGGAGACAGGAGTTCACTTTTTACGTGCTGTTAAATACGAAATTATCTCAGTAATGAGTAGTTTTAGAGAAAAATGCCACAAGGGATTTTTGTTGGAAATTTTATCAGCTACAAAAAAGGTCTTGTGAGATTTTTCGTTAGAACCACTCGTTCTCGAGATATTCGTCTTGATGACAAAATATGACGAATTATATTTGGGAGAAATGTCGCGACGTTTTTGTCTGAAGTAATTAGTCTGTGAGATAATTGCAATGTTGATGGAAATATCATGTTTTCACCACTTCACTGAGACGTGAATAATTTCTATCAATTATTTTCTATTCTGCGAATTGAAATGAAAGGCGACTGGAGATAATCTACGGGTGACATCAATGAGGAAATTATGGGGATGGGGCATGAATATAAATTGGTTGACGAATGGAGATTTGTTTCTTCTTGACATAATAAATTGTAAATTGGAATAAAATCGCGAGGATTAAGTTAGGTAGACAGCTTCTGAAGGTAAATTAGATTAGTTTTTTTTTTACTTCACTCCACTGTCATTAGTGCTCCATCAGAATAGGTGCATTCGAATCTGTTGTGAAGTGGTGAAACGTGATAAATGGAATTTTACACTTTTCCAAATTGCATTCATCTCGGAAACGAGTGGTTTCAGAGGAGAATATGCGAGGATCTTTTTCGTAGTGTTCGTAATTTTCTGACGAAAATTGTTTCTGGCATTTGCCTCTAGAATAACTCACTGCCGAGGTAATTCCACATTTAACAAGATGTAAAAATCGGCATTTCGATGAAATATTTTATCACATCACTGCAGAGACGATTAATGAAAGACAATGGAATGAGTATGAGGCGTTGAGTGCCGCCTGCGTTTAGAATTAGAAATTAAAATTAATCACACGCATCAAAGAATTAGTTCTACTAAACCTAAACCAAAAATTAAAACATGAGAAATAAACAAAAAAAGTGGTAGAGAGTTAAATCTCAATCAGAGGTAGGAAAAATTGCATGAATTTAGAAAGTACGTGAACGGGGGCGAGATTTAATAATGGCCTGGAGCCTAGGGGTGACTAGGTGAATTGAGGATTAAAAACTCAGTGGCTGAGAAACTATAGAACACATTAGATAGTGGAAATTTGTTATTAATTTGAATGAATATAGCCTTTACACGTTGTTAGTTATATCTGTGCTAATAATGTTTACAAAATTTAAATTCAATTAAGCCTAGCTCAATACTCAAATTTTTATCCCTACGTTTATCAATGTTAACGAAGTTTATTTATTTTTCTATAGATATTAGAAATGGCTTTGCATCCGCGGGAGTAGGCTGACACGATTAGTTGATTTATTTCTGTGGGGAAGTGGTGCAAGCATTATTTTGTCTATATCTCAGAAATGTCTTCTGACATTTTTCTCTGAATCCATTAGTTTCTGAGATATTTGCAAAATACTCTGGATGAAATTTTGAAAATCTCGCTCTACCGCTTCTCTACAGATATCCAATCACATAAAAAATAAACAAAACGAATTCTGACGATGGAATAATAATGTTACCGAGTGACTGTACTGTAAAGAATGTTAACTGACTAATTGATCAATTAATCACATGCAGAATAAATCAATACAATAAGTACTGTAAAACAAATCAGAATTTTTGCAAAAAGTACTTGAGAATTTTCCTATGTAAATAAACTCTTGGTTTGACCAATTTTTTCATTTCACTCCTCGACACAATATAATTTATCTTCTCTTTACTTCAATCACGATTGATTCAAATCAATGAAGAACAAATGAGGTATTTTAAAAAATGTATTAATGAAAGTTGTGCTCATCGAATGTGTTGTACAACAATTGGAAAGGCCTAAGTTCAAAACTTAACACCTTAAAAAAAAAAACAACACAAAAAAAACCCCTGGAAAATCCTTGCTCTACAGTGAATTTTGCAATTAAACGAAGGAGTATTGTATATAAATAATATTAAATCTACGTATGTAATAAGTACGAGGAATAAAAGCAAAAGTGAATCCATACAAGACATTCCATTATTAAAATCGCAAAACTGCAGACAAAACAGCGATCTGCAATTTATAATCATAGTGTTACAACAATACGAATTCGAAACTCATATAACGAATTAGATACAAAATAAAAGTGAATAAATCAGAGATTATGCAACAGAACAATTTTAGGAGATAAATGTACAAGCTCTTCCCAGAAAAAGCAACAAAAATTGTAACAATTAATGATGTAATTTCAAAAAGAAACTAGTGACATTCGTTTTGAGCTTCATTTCAGGTCCAAGCGAATATTTTTCATTTTCAATTCGACTAAAGAGGCAATTGCTTCATTTTAAGTTACAATTCGCGAGTGAAAGATTATATGGACCTCACCTTTATTTGTGATAATAAAGAAAAGCAACTATTGAATAAAAATAAATATAAAACTCGTTGAAATAAATATGAATCGAGAAGTATTGATTTTACCCTTTTAACCTTTGTCATGTTATCCATGAAATTAATTATGAAAAAAGTAATTCTCATACAATTTCAATGAAATTCAATAAAACGTTCATTTTTTTCAATAGAAAGCGTTTAATAGAAAGCAATTTTACAGAAAAAAATCAATAGAAGTTTTCAATCAATTTTTTTCCTCTCATTAAGAAATCAAACAAAAAATTTGGAAAATTTGGTTCGAGGAATTTCAATGCAAAATACCTCAATACAATAAATTGTACGAAAAAATCATATTTTATTGATATTTTCTATAAAACATTTTCTATTAAATATTTCTATTCAGAAAAGCTGCCGATGAGAGAAAAATTAATAGAAGTCCTGTAAAAATTGAATGAAACTTCGAACTTCGGATGAACCAATAGGGGAGGGCCGGACAAAATGGGATACATTGAGTTCTTTTTCATTTGTCAATATCTTCACTCATAAATGAAAATATTGACAATTAGAGAAGATCACGAAATGTCCCATTTCGCCCGACTCTCCCCTAGAATTTGATTTTTTTCATAGAACTTTTTTTCTACGAAAATCCCTCTACATAACTTTTCCTAGTTTTTAATATATATTTCCCCTCTTAAAAAATCAAGCAAAAAATGAGGAAAATTTGATTCGAGAAATTTCCCTAGAAAATATCTGAGTGGAATAAGTTGTGCAGAAAAATCATACTCTATTAATGTTTTCTATAAAATATATTCTACTAAACATTTCCATTCAGAAAAGCTGCGGATCAGAGAAAAAGAACTCGAACTCCTCCAGGGGGCCTATTCTCGAAATATTTCCGTGCACGGAAGTGGCTTCGTAAACGAATTGCGTATAGGACTCATATAGGCGTTCCGTCAACGGAGTCGATTCCGCGCACGGAAATATTTCGAAAATAGGCCCCCAGAAATTCAACAAACCATTCAATGAAGCTTCGCACACATTCACCAGTTCTGCCACCCCAAACATTCCACATCAAGTAGAAACGGGAGTTGAATGGGCGGACATGGAACCGAATGGGGGTTGCGTGGAGTGGGAAAAACGTGTTGTATGTAGCCGACCGCGCTCCCTGCCACGTACGTCAGGCTCAAGATTAAAGATTCTCCGCTTGGTTGCATCGAGCAATCAATTTTTATAAACTCAAGACTCCCCACAACACGAGAATCACTTTTGCACTGACAAATGGAGGGTCTGCCACAAGTGAGTGCCCCCTGAATCTCCCCTTTCGCCTTTGTAAATCATTAATTCACCAATAAATACGCCCTGCCGTGGTATAACCTATGCTAACGCCGACAAATCGTGATTGATTGTCACGTCCAATCTGTTGACAGAACCACTGAGGTTTGTTGTAAAGAAATAACGGATGAACAATGGCGAAATCAAAATCCCACGAACGCACGCCGAAGGCGAAGAACAAACATCTGAATCACACTCATCAGAGGAAGGAAACCGAATCGTCTAGGATGAATCTCATGAACACAATGTTGACGGTAACTTGTATGGCTGTTGCTGCGTGGTTTGGGTATAAGGGGTATCTGGAGACGAGAGTCAATACTCCTTTTGACACCGAAAAGGTACGATTCCCCTTGTTCAATTCATTCGACTACTTTTCGAATTATTTTTATTCATTATCACTTTGATTTCTGCTCAATTCCATCTTCCAAAGTCGATGGAACATTCCTTGGGATGAGAATTGGGAAATGTATGATTTTTCTCCTTGTTTTTAGATTTTTAGATAGGATTTCCATTCTTTTTGTTGTGTTACTACTTTGCTGATCGTATGACTCTTCTCTACGTTTCACCCTCATGTTTCCTTTCCATTCTTTATATTATTGAGAACTATGCGTACTATCTTCAGTCTCCTACTGTTCTACTTTAGCTATTTACGGCCCCTGAAATATCAATTCATCTTTTTTGGATATGAAGGATTCTCATTATTTAATTGATGCTGGACTACTTTTCGAATTATTTTTATTCATTATCACTTTGATTTCTGTTCAATTCCATCTTCTCCAAGTCGATGGAACATTCCTTGGGATGAGAATTGGGAAATACATGATTTTTCTACTTATCTTTAGATAGGATTCTCATTCTTTTTGTTGTGTTACTATTTTGCTGATAGTATGACTTTCCTATATTTTTCAGCCTCACTTTTCCTTTTCTTTCTTGTTATTATTGAGAGCCCTGCATACACACTATTTTCAGTCTTCTACTGTTCTACTTTAGCTATTTACGGCCCCTTAAATATCAATTCATCTTTCTTGGATATGAAGGATTCTCATTATTTAATTGATATTGGACTACTTTTCGAATTATTTTCATTCATTATCACTTTGATTCCTTTCCAATTCTGTATTTTCAAAGATGATGAACCTTTTGGGAAGAATTTACTTCATTTTGCATGATTGTTTCACTGTTACTGTCATTTCAGTAATAAAATATCAGATCGTCTCTCTCGGCCATGAGGGATTCAAGGAAAAAGGTCAAGTGATTTCTTTGGAGTTGATGAACTTGACGTTGAAGTACCTCTCTTGATCATTTTTGCGAAAATTACTTATCGAGGTCATTAGATTATGATTAGTGGTGTGTTTATTGCCCTAATTAGTCATTTTACTTGACATGTTTCGAAGCTGAGAAAAAACCTTCTATTTTGTAATGACCATTATCAAAAGCTCAAATAAATGAGAATGGAAATAAAACTTCAGTTCCTTCCTCCTGAACGTCAGGGATTCCAGGAGGGAACTGCAACAGAAGTTTTCTGAAGTTGATATTCTTCATTGAAGTGTCAGGATAATTGAATCGAGATAATTAAAAATCTTGAGACATCTCTTTTTAGTCGCCAAAATTTTCTTCAAGAACCTCTCGACGATTTCTCTTAACTATTCAGTTTTAATGACAGAAATGCAACAATCCCTCATTAACAACTATAAATTTTATCCCTAAATTTAAAGAGACCTGTTGTAACAAAACTACACGCACGAAAAAATGTAATACAATAACCTAGCGAATTCATTGGAAAATTCTATGGATTTCTATTAAACTCTCTATTAATTTCTGGCTGATTCTATTGAAATATTCAATAGACAGTCGGTAGAATTCGATTTTTCTATATAACTTATTTTCTTCATATATTTTTTATAGAATATCCTCGACTCAAATTTTCCAAGTTTTTTTCATTCTATTCTTCTCATCAAGAAAATCAACCAAAAAATAACATTGAAAATTCACATGCTTTTGATTTTTTCTAAAAAATATTTTCTATTGAACATTTCAACAGAATCGGCTAGATGTAGTAGAAAGTTCAATAGAAATCCGATAGTCCAATAGAATTGTCTAGCGAATTGGCTAGATGTTTCTATTAAATTTTTTCATCCGTGTAATAATTCACCTGACCCCAGCTCGTCGCGCTAAACGGTCTGGACACAGCGGACCGTTACTGGGGTTCGTACAGATCAAACCTCTACTTCGGGATGAAGACCCGCGACCCCCAGTCCCTCGCCAGCGGTCTGATGTGGTACCGCCCGAACGACTTGCGCCAGGGGAGCGAGTCCTTCCGACACTGGTGCGAGCAGTCCGACAAGCTCGAAAAGTACGGTTGGCTGGAGCACGACGGCAAGACCTTCGGCATCCAAGAGATTGTCGACGGCGATCTAATAATAAAAACCTCGTACGTGAAAAAACCCGGTGGTCGTCACGGTGGTGACTGGACAGCCCGCATAGGCGTCACCTTCAAGGACCCGGCGCTCCCGAACTCCGAAAAATCCGAGGAAATATCCTTCATCTTCTACTCAGCCCTCGAGGACAAGTCCACGGGGAACATCAAGGCTTCATTAGGAGCGGACAACAGACTCTCGGGGATGGAGGGGTACACTGACGGTCTGGGAGCTTACAGATTCTCCATGAATCCGACTAAAGGAACAGTGGAGGAGCACTCCTTCCTGATAGCCGTCATGCCAGGTAGGGAAGCATTAAAAAATTGTAGGCGGCTCTATCTGCGATACAGCTGTAATTGTACGTGGATACGTCCATGGTCTTTCCTTCTTTCTCGAATTTCCTAGAAACTCCTTGCATTCCCTCGAATTTTCAGGAAACTCTTGAAACCCTCTTGAATTTTCTAGAAACTTCTTGAATTTCCTCGAAATTTCTAGAAACTCCTTGAATTTTTTTGAAATTTCAAGAAACTTCTCAAATTATCTCGAAATGTCTAGAATTTTCTAGAATTTCGATAGATGGCACTGCACATAAGAACCGTTTCCCAAAATGATCCCCCATATTGAAACCATGGACATATCCACGTCAAAAAACTAACGAGTCAATTTACTGGGATTTTAAACGTAAATTACAGATGAAGATGATAAAGTCTCATGTCACGAAAATGAGAAGAAATTTAATAGAAAAATTTAACGCTTTCTGTGAGAAATTCTATTGGAACTCTATAAGAATTTTATTAGAAGCATGTGTTTGTGCAATTCTGTTAAAAATTATGCAACGCCCCCCGCAGTTTTGAAGGGATATTTGTTTATTGAAAAATGTCTATAGATTTTCATTTTTCTATGTAACTTATTCTGTTTCTTTCTGTAAGAATTTTTGGGGATCAATTTTCCAAGTTGTTTTTCTTGGATTTTATCATGAGGAATCAATAAAAATACGAATACGAAAAATAGATAATCTTAACAAAATAAGAAAACTCAAAATCTTTGAATTTTTTCTGTGAAATATCTCTTAACAAAATGATATGGTAAAGTTTCATAATCTCCTATAGAAACGGCGCAAAAAACAAGTAGAATTCTAACAAAACATCAAGAGAATTCTTGTAGAGTTCCAATAGAAATTTAATAGAATTTCTTACAGAAACAGTCAACTGTAGCTGTCGATTTTTTTATGCCACTAAATTGATTTTTTCTATAAAAATTTTTAGGCATGATTTTTCCAAGTTTTTTTCCTGGATTTTGACGAGAAGCAAATAACAATACGCATACGAAAAATAGAAAAACCAAAAACTATGATTTTTTTTTTTGAAATATCTCTTAACGAAATGACATGAGCTCCAATAGAATTCGCCCAAAAAATTCCCATAAAACTTCAAGGGAATTCTCGTAGAATTCCAATAGAAATTCAATACAATTTCCTAGAGAACGCGCTAGGTTGTTCCAATTTTTCCCCTGCCTTGAACACGTCAAATCTGGCAGTAATTTTGCATTCCAAATGTCAGGTTTGGACCTAGTCCGTGAGACAGTCCTCCAGAACCTTCGCCTGGCATCCCAAAAGGGTTCAAACATGAAGAGAATAGTCCTCGGAGGAGATCAACTACCCCTTGACTCCGAGGGGAAGAAAACAGACCCGAACTTCTGCGCAACGCAGGTGACAGCCAAAGTTCCCTTCGAGTTCGAAGTGCTCTTCGAGTCTGGGAGTGTTCCCCTGAGGAAGGAGAAGCTAACCGGAAAGAACTTCGACTCAGCTCTGGCAGACCAACGAAAGCGGTTTCACGATAAATTCGAGAAGACATTCAAGCTCGAGGAGAAAGGCTTCAAAGAGGATGCCATAGATTTCGCGAAGCTCGCGTTCTCCAACCTGATTGGGTCCATCGGTTATTTCTACGGAACTGCGCAGGTGCAGAGTGTCTACACTAAGAGCCCAGTGCCCTACTGGAAGGCCCCTCTCTACTCAGCAGTCCCCAGTCGTTCATTTTTCCCCAGAGGATTCCTCTGGGACGAGGGCTTCCACGGGCTCCTGATATCCACCTGGGATTTGGACATTGAATTAGACATCATGAGCCATTGGTTTGACCTCATGAACTCCGAGGGATGGATCCCTAGGGAGATGATCCTGGGGTCTGAGGCCCTGAAGAAGGTCCCTGAGGAGTTTGTCACGCAGATCAGCACCAATGCCAATCCACCGACGTTCTTCCTGACTCTCGAGTACATCCTGAACACTCGGGAGGTGGAGCTGTTGGACAGGCACTATAAACTCCTGGGGAAGATCTACCCGAGGCTGCAGGCGTGGTTCGAGTGGTTCAATACTACACAGGTTGGCGATCTGCCTGGGACCTATCGGTGGAGGGGGAGGGACAGCTTGACGAACAGAGAACTCAATCCTAAGACGTTGACCTCTGGGCTGGACGATTACCCAAGGGCTTCACATCCTAATGTGGATGAGAGACATGTGGATCTGAGGTGCTGGATTGCTTTCGCTTCTGGGGTCATGGCGAGACTGGCTGCTCTGTTGGAGCAGCCTAGTCAGAGGTACGTTCTGCATTTATTCTGGATTTTTTTGAAATAATGTAGGTCTCGTTGAGCCCTATCCATCGACACTAGTTAAAATTTAATTCATTTACTGATTTTTTTAATTCTTGAATTTTTCCAAAAATCGGTTGTTCCACGAGAACTAAAAAAATGTTCTGAATTCACTGAATGATGAGTTGAAAAAGTTATTTGGATGTCCTTTTGACCGATTTCGAAGTTGAACGATAATAACGATAGCTGCATGTGTTGATTTGATTTTTATGATGATTTTTCCAAATTTCGAATTTTCCATCATATATTGATAATAATCGACAAGAACGGCCTAAACGTGGCTTATGTAGATGACAAACCTGCCGAATGCTGAGCCAATAACAAAGCCAATGTCGATAACTAGGATTTAACAACATGAAATAAACAATTAATTATAATACCATAGAAGAAAATGATGAGCGTATTTCTAATATTGCTAATTTATTAGCAAAGATAACTACACTATATGAAGAGCAATTTCCCACGTTTTTTTTCTTTAACTTTAACTCTGTAAATTGAATTCGAAACAAGATTAAACATTCTTCTAAAATTCATGTCGCCCACAAAAAGATATACCATTCAACAATTTCCAAACTCCAACAGGTACAACGAGACCCACCAATACCTCACAGACAACCAGCTGCTGAACGATCTTCACTGGTCACCAACAGCTCAAGCATACGCCGACTACGGTCTCCACACCGACAAGGTGGAGTTGCGGCGACCCAGTGCTCCTCCCAGGTCCCCAGCCTCCCCAGACCTGATCAGAGTCGTCTTGGAGGATCCCACCTTGAGATTCGTGGACTCCACCTTCGGTTACGTCTCGCTATTCCCCTTTATCCTGGGAATAGTCGAGTCTAATTCGCCAAATCTCGACAAGATTCTGAACGATCTGACCAAGCCTGAGCTGCTGTGGACCAAATATGGACTCAGATCACTGGCGAAATCATCCCCTCACTACATGAAGTACAACACAGAACACGATCCACCGTATTGGAGGGGCCCCATCTGGATCAATCTGAATTATTTGACCCTGAGAGCCCTCAATCATTACTCGGAGGTGCAGGGACCCTATCAGGCCAAGGCCAGGAAGATTTACAAGGAGTTGAGGGAGAATGTAATAAAAAACATGATGGCGCAGTACAAAAGGACGGGCTTCGTCTGGGAAAACTATGGAGATGGCTATGGCGAGGGCAGGGGCTCACACCCGTTCAATGGGTGGTCCTCACTCGTTGTTATGATCATGGCTGAGATCTACTGAGGAAAGCTTCCTCAGTATTTTCAGCAGTTGATTGACGTCTCGTGGACAATCAGACGATTTTTGAGAGGTGTTAGTGAATGGGAGTGTTTTTTTTGTTTTAAAGGTTTTGACACGTATCAATTACCAAAAATTTTGAAGAGGGAGTTCTGGAAATGTCTTGGGAAGGTGGGGATCTTCGGAGAAATATCAACAATCCGATCTTTTTGGAACCTGTTGAATGTTTTACAAACGAGATGTCTGAGAATTTTGTTGAGACCACTTTATTTCAGAGATGTTTTATAAATAATCTGAGAGTTTGAGATTCATCTTCTTGTACCAGAAAATTTGAACTGATTATTTTGAGAATGTCTTCGGAATTAATGGATCTAGGGAAAATGTCAATAATTTTAATGTCAACAATTTTGGTTTTTTAAACCAAATTTTCTACAAAAATTCCTTCAGAATTTCTTCTAGACTTGTACCAAAAATTTGGTACGAATTATTATGGAAATATCTCGATACTAGTGGGTTTAGTGAAAAATTTCATGAGGTCTTTATTATAAACCATTATATTCTCTACAAAAAAGTTTTTGAGAACTTCCTCTCAAGGTTTTTCTTCAAGAGATATTTTCTAAATAATTTAAGGTTTCATGTGGGATTCATCTTCTTGTACCTAGAACCTTGTGTTGATTATTCTGAAAATATCTCTGGACTGAGTGGGTTTAACAGGAAAAAACTAGGTAAACCGATTGATAAATTTACCCAAGACACTTCTTTCGAAGATATTTTCTGAATAATCCTCCACCCCCCTAGAATTACATAATTTACCATTTTTACAGCACAAAGGAGCATAAAAAATGCACAAAACCATGGACATAATTTCGTTCGAGCTGTGTTATTAAATAGCTTCTTAGCATCACTCAGAATGTTGAATAAACAAATGGATAATACAACACAGCGAGTGAATGGTGTACTTCCAGCTTGTGTGAGGCTGGCACTCACCAGACCACAATTTTTGATTGAATGATGAAGGATGAAGAAAATACCAATTAACTGCTTAAATATACCAAGGGGAGAATGCAATACAAAATGATTAAATCAATAGATTCACGTATTTGTAGCTTAATTGTAAGACATTCCGAGGGAGTAGATTTGTAAGAATTCATATACCAAATACGATAAATGAAACAATTGTATATTAAGACTGCGGGAATTGTAAATTGCGGTAATTCATGAAAATTTCGTCGGCATTTATTCAGTGGAAGTAATTTTTCATTCGCATGCCTGCGACTTTCTTTAATATGGGTGTCATGGGTGTTTCATGGATTGTTTAATGAATATACGGACGATAAAATTTCATATAAAAATCTAGAGAATTGTACAGAAAATTTTATTCAACTTCTGTTGAAGAATTCCGCAGATTTACTGCGTGTTTTTTTTATAGGAATTGTTCCGTAGAAACTATTTTATGGAAAAAATTATTAGAACTTCATCTTTCAACACAACTCGGTAGCGAAGTGGTAAAACGATTCAAGTTTTCCAGGAATATCTCCGAACCTAAGAGAGATTACGAAATTTTCGTAATGACCTTTTTTACAGAGGGAATTGAGAGCTACAAAAAAAGTTATAACCAAAATTTCACTATCTGCCTTAGATTCCGAGATATTCATTGAAAACGACTAAAACGATTTTTTCGCTTCGCTACTAAAATTTTTCTATTGAATTTTTCGTACGTGTATTTCGTTTTTTAATGGTAGAAGACAATATAATGGTCACAATTTCAAAAAAAATATGAATCAAATATTGAGAGAATAAGTGAAGAATAAAAAAATGAATTCTTTTGTCGAAAATTTTAGAAATGCCATGAGTTATTCCCATGACCTTCTAAAAAAACTGCTTTCTCAATTGTACGAAATAAATCTAAAGGGGATTAATGTAACGCGTATGCATGCAGCGAGGAATCCTTGCGTTTTAACAAAATAAATAATAAACTCTACAGCTGTTGTAAGCCGAGAGTTTTGGGGGGGAGTAATTGGAGATTTTTAAACGCTGAATAATTAATTCTAGATAAGGATTTTTCAAACCTGGCTGTGAAGAAACAAAAATACTAACCAGAAAAACCCGTTAATGCATTTTTTTTTCTCGTATAGCTGTGGAATAACGATTGTCCGGATCTTTTAGTAATGTTGAGAGAGTGGAAATAGTCAAACATCATCATTGTAGGGTAGATATTTATCGGAAAACGTGCACTTTGTGGCGAACAATAAACGAAATTCTCTTTTTGGGCTTTTGGGGCGCGCGTGTACTTTATAATCGGAGTGTAATCACCAATATTTCTTGAATTATTTCATTTAGATACTTTATTGTAAACGAATAAACGAGTCGAATTGATTTTTTAGAGTCTTTTCATTCACCGAAAACTTCCCTTCATAACTATCACTGAAGGCATCCATTCGAGATGATAAAATAAATAAGGTAAATGTAATTTTTTAGTGAAGTTAATTAAAAGACTTTTGTGAATCTGACAGAATACGAAAAAATTTAGTAGAAAAACTTTACGAATTCGCTGGATAATCCGATTGGATTTTTGTTAAATTTTTCATTAGTTTTAGGCTGATTCTATTGAAATGTTCAATAGAAAACTATTCTGTAGAAAAAGCCACACCTATTCTATTGAAATATTTCCTACAAAATTTCACCGGCTGAAATTTTTCAAGGTTTTTCACTTCCTTCTTTTCTTTAGATCAAGAAAATCAAACAAAAAACTAGGAAAATTTGGGCTGACAAAATTCTATAGAAAATATCTCAATAGAATATTGACGACGTTCTATTGACTTTTTCTAAAGAATATTTTCTATTGAACTCTTCACCAGAATCAGTTACAAACTAATAGAAAGTTTAATAGAAATCCAATAAAATTTCTTATATATAATTTGTTTTATTATTGGGAAAAATCAATATCATTGTAGCAAGAATATTCTCTACAAAAGATGTCTCTTGATAATTTTTCCGATAAAAATAGACTGGAATATAGTCAATGAAAAAATGGAATGTTCTGTTAATTATGAAATTATCTTAATAGCGAGTAATTTTACAACAAAATGTCATCAGACTTTTTTCCTAGCTGACAAAATTCTCAACAAAAATTTTTTCTTTACAATTCCCCCTAAACCTCCTCGTCACCGAGATAATCCGACAATAAATGACATAGGTCCCAATTCCCGTTTCAATGAATTCAAATCCCAAAAATCGCGCAATATTTTCTCCACTGAAGTTGGCTCCAATGGAAGTCGATCAGAACTGCGTTAACTTCACTCCGCAACAATTTCACGGCTCACCTCGAGCCTGTAGGTGTGTTAGGCCGTATGACAATTTATCGGATTATTGAGAAAAAAAGTATTATTATTTAAGTTAATTATCAGGATCTCAGGAGTTGATAATGGAGCCGTACGACGTTATTATCAATCAACCGGTGGTCATCGATAACGTGAGTATTTTGTAAAGTTCCCTGAGGTTTTTCCTTCGTGACCCTGATGGAATCCTCGGACTCCTTCACTGATGTGTCAAACGAAACAGGCCATATTGTCGGCTGCCAAAAATTGACAATTGCAATATTTTTTTTCTACAATCAATCACTTTCTAAATAACGAATTGATGAGAAAATCACCGAAAACCTATTCTCAAATCATGAATTTTTGTTAAGAATTTGCCACGATTTTTCGCACTAGTTATTAATTTTATTACTTGCATTCAAGTGTTGGCATTGAATCGATAATATTCAGATGTTTTTGGGTTTTCTCAGGGTTCTGGAGTGATAAAAGCAGGCTTCGCTGGTGATCAGATACCAAAATGCAGATTTCCAAATTAGTAAGTGTAAATTCATTAATATTCCAGTGATGAATCACCACTACTACATTGTTAGAGGTTATTATGTGAATAAAATCACTCTATCCACATCGAATTCATCAATGTTTCCGTTATTAAAAGCTAATATCTTTGAGTAAACATTTCATCGAACATTTTGTGACCAGTAATGACAAAGAGATCGAATTTTATGTCATTATTGTCGTTAATTATCATTTAGAAATGATAAAATATTGAGGAATCCTTTTTCAAGTACAACTAAATTCCTCAACGATATTTTTGATAATTCTTCGTGAAACCATGAAAGATTCCCTTGAAATATCTATAAATTCCCCTTGTGATGATGTCAACGTGTCTTGCACGCATTTCAACAAAAATATTCAGAAATAATTATTTAAAAAATGAAGTTTGACATTTTAGAACTTCAATTAAAAAACCCCTCAACATTTCATTAAAAAAAAACATAACTCAATAGAAATCAACTGTATCCCCAATAAACGCATGGGAAAGGGTGGGGCAAAATGGAAACTTGTGAATTTTTCCCTAATGTGAATGTTATAACTTCTGAAAAAAATCATCAATTGAGCTCACCCTAGGTTGTTTTCATGAAAAAAAACCATGTCAATAAAACTTGAATTAAAAGAAAATTGAATGAGTAATTTTCTAAAGAATCAAAAATGCCTATTCTCTCCCACAAATTTTCGACGTTCAAATAAAAATCTTGACCTCCCTAACGATGAATTAACCACTGGAATGACATTCCCCTGAAATAAATCAACCACCCAATAAATTTAGTCGTCAATCGATCCAATCAATTCCTCAATTTCTTTATTTCTTGTATTTCCCAGCATTGGAAGGCCAAAGCATGTCAGAGTGATGGCAGGAGCCCTGGAAGGTGATCTCTTCGTGGGTCCAATAGCCGAAGAGCACCGAGGTCTCCTCTCCCTGCGCTACCCAATGGAGCACGGCATAGTAACCGACTGGAACGACATGGAGAGAATCTGGTCGTACGTGTACAGCAAAGACCAGCTGTCGACGTTCAGCGAGGAGCACCCAGTGCTCCTCACCGAGGCGCCCCTGAATCCCAGGAAGAATCGAGAGCGCGCAGCCGAAATCTTCTTCGAGTCCTTCAACGTTCCAGCTCTGTTTGTCTCCATGCAAGCAGTTCTGAGTTTGTACGCCACTGGCAGAACCACTGGTGTTGTCTTGGACTCTGGGGATGGAGTGACACACGCTGTACCCATCTACGAGGGCTTCGCCATGCCCCACAGCATCATGAGGGTGGACATCGCCGGAAGAGATGTCTCCAGGTACCTCAGACTCCTCCTGCGCAAGGAGGGAGTCAATTTCAAGACAACTGCTGAATTCGAGATCGTGAGGACGATCAAGGAACGCTCGTGCTACTTGTCGAATAATCCTCAGAAAGAGGAGACTGTGGAGACTGAGAAGTTTCAGTATGTTTTGCCTGATGGAAGTTTTCTCGAAATTGGTCCTGCCAGGTTCAGGGCACCTGAGGTCCTCTTCAGACCTGATCTTATCGGGGAAGAGTGCGAGGGACTGCATGAGGTCCTCATGTATTCTATTCAGAAGTCAGATCTCGATCTGAGGAAAGTGCTCTTCCAGAATATCGTGCTGTCTGGGGGATCTACTTTGTTCCGAGTGAGTTTAGAGATTTTTTTGAAGAATTTTAGAGGTTGGGAGGGGATGACACGCGTGATCAAATTTTATAGAACTTGAAGAATTTGTTTGTTAAAAATTCTATTGGTTTTTCGATTCTACTGAAAGATCGCACAGCTTTTCTGGGTGATTTTTTTTTCAATAGAAATGTTTCAATAGAAAATATTTTATAGAAAAAATCAAGAGCATTTGATTTTTCTAGACAACTTATTCTTTTGATATAGTTTCTAAAGAAATTCCTTGGTTGAAATTTTTCAAGGTTCTTTGTTCGATTTCTTTAATGAGTGGAGAAAAAAACAAAGGGAAATAAATTTAAAAAAATTTTGTTGAGGAAGTCCTGTAGCAAATTGCTCTTTAGATTAAAACCAAATTCTTCTCATTTTAAAATACCTTCCATTGAACATTTTCCATTAAAAAAATGCGAATTCTGTGAAATTTTTCGTGTGGAGGTAAGAATGAAGTAAAATGGATCAAACTAATATCATTTCCAAAGCAGTTTGAATTATTCCATTTCATTATTTCCCTACTAGATTGATTGTTTTGTATTTTGAGAAATGATTAATAATGTTTTGTGGTTTTCCTCAGGGCTTTGGTGATAGGTTACTAGCGGAAATTAGGAAGATGGCACCTAAGGATATCAAAATCAGGGTATGAAGAAGTTATACATTCCTTGAATCTTTTAATTTTGACAGGAAATCTTTTTTTCGCTTAACTGCTCGAATTTTATACATAACTGGAGAACAATAAATTCCCTTATCGGAAAGCTAATCATACGATTCTCTATTCGAATCTGTATTAATTCTGAAATTATATTAATTATCAGCAGGATTATTAAAAGGCTTTTTTTTAAAGAAGCATTTCATGAGAATCAAGAGTGATACACATCTGTCCCCAAATTTTTTAAAAAAACAATCCATCCACAAATGGTCTATCTCATGAAATTTAACCGATCGATGCGATTTTCTCCCCAGATATCAGCACCACAAGAACGTTTATACAGTACATGGATTGGAGGTTCAATCCTGGCATCACTAGACACATTCAAGAAGATGTGGGTCAGCAAAAGAGAGTACGACGAGGATGGCAGCAGAGCGATACACCGTAAAACATTCTGAGCAGATTGATTATTACAGAAAATAATTGGGAATTAATGAAAAATCGAACAAAAATACCTAAACACACAAGTAACGCTCGGCACAAGACATTTTTACACGTGTTTGAATAATTCCCCTCACTCCTATCCTTCCACAATTCCGAGGAAGCCCAACGAGAGACAGAGGATTATAGATTAATTTTATATATCAAGTATTTTGGCAACTACTCTCGCAGTGGTTTTAACGACTTTTCCCTCTCAATGATTGGCGAATCATTGGGTATACTTAAGTATCTGGCTCCAATCCCAGTGAGATTCGTTGGACATTCAATATTTAATTTTGGGAATGATGATGCAATAGTGAAGTGGTGGAACAATACAGCAGGACAGGACGAACTGATTTTTCACATCAAGTTGAACGTATTGAATTGGGCTTTACATGACATTTTTTTCAGTGCTGGATATGAGAATTGAATGAAGAATACTAAACATGTATTTCTTATTCCAATAGAGAAGGAAGAATTGAAACTACAGGCGATTGAGAATGTCAGAATTGGGATGTCATAATGCTAATTTTTTTCCTGAATACAACTTCCTAATTTTTTCATCATTTTTTCAAATAAAAAAACAGAAAATTTTCATGCCATCTACGCATTTTATTGCTCCATTAAACGAATAAATTTCGTAACACAAGTTTCGTGTCTCAATTATCCCGAAAAAAATTATCCTATTTGTCCTCAAAACCATTAGTTTTCGAGATGTCAAGTTAACTGAAATTGATGTTTCACCGCTTCACGACTGATACGCCGAGTCGTCTATTTATGTACTCTTTTTTTATACTGTTCGTATCAACTTAATATTTAACGATAGAAGAATGTAGCGGGGGATCATTGAGAGTGCTTTGTTCATGTATTATTGTTGCTTTTCGGTTGAAAAAAAATCATCAATAATAATACAGCACTGTTTTCGCAACACGTATTTGTAAATATGTATGCTTTGGTAAAATAAAATATTTAAAAGAGCATAGTGCATTGAAATTGTTGTTTTCATTCTGGCGAATATTTTTTGAGGATTTCAATAAACTAATTTGCAGACTTGTTTTATATGAATGCATATTTTGAAGTTGTCGTAATAGTGTTTTTAGTTGAAAGTATAAATGTTGTTAATTGAAGTAGTATAAACATAACAAAAATTTTGGAGATGAAAATGTGAAATGAATTCTAAACGAGAAAATTAATTTTTCGAGATTAGAGAAAAGATTAAAATGTAGGAAAAATATTTAAAAAATAGAATAAAAATTAACAGAAATTATATGCCTAATGCGAAAATTACCGTGTCAAACTTCTGGGATAAATAACTTATGTTTCTGGGTACCCCAAATTTACAGGATGCCCTAGGCAAACGAGGAACTATTGTTCAAGAGAATAATTGCCGAGAGAATTTGGTGGACAGATTTTTTACTCCCGTCAACGATGGAATTCATGTAGGAAATTATCAATGAGTGATATTTTTTTCGGCAGTTTAAATATATTTTTCCTCACTACACTCAACATACTCGACCTACGTAGAGCTTGAACATACTACTTTAAGTAATTATTTAAATACTCATGACATATGTCAGAGAAAAATTGACGGAAAAACCTAGCGTTTTCTCTCTGAAATCCTATGGAATTTTTATTGGAACTCTAGAAGAATACTCACATTCTATTTCTGTTAATTATTTGGCTATTTGATTCTTTTAATTCATTACTTATACCCACGCTGACCCAAAGTGCAATGAATTATTTTATTTATATTATTTATTTATATTATTATTACATTATTTATTTATATTATTATTTTATTTATATTATAAACATTTATTTAACGAACAAATAATGTTTTGTTTTTAAATAATTCATAATGACTACTACTCTAGTCTCGTTTAGACTACCAAGCGTCTGAATCACTTTTGAATTTGCGCAAGTCAGTGGCTCTACTCCACTACATCCGGTGTAACTAAAAACAGCTCATGGGCGACATGTTTTATACATCAGCAGCATTGTGGAAGCCGGATTGTTGAAATCACCAGGTGGCAAAATCATTAATTTCGTTCTACATAAGCAGAAATAAGGAATCGACGATAAAAATGTCTTATTCAAGCGCAGATCAGTCTTCAGTTGACAAATCGATGAGGAGTGTCTTTGGTAAGAATGAAATTACCACGAGAATCGATAATTATTCCACCCTCATTCCGCCAAATTTTAATCCAATTCATTCATCTTTACTTTCAGTTGGAAATATTCCGTACAGAGCTACGGAGGAGAATCTGAGGGATATCTTTGGTGATGTCGGACAAATTATGTCGCTCAAGTGAGAAATGAATATTCATAAATTAATTTTAATGTTGGAGGAGATTTATAACCTAACAGGCAAGGAATTTCTTTCGAAAATGTATATTCTTCATTAATCATTGAGTTTAATGAGTTTTTAACTGGCACTTTTCACTATGAGAAAGTCATTGAATAGTGAAATTATGATGAACCAAAGATGAATCCAGAGAAAAAATAGTTTCCGAATTATTAAAAATTTCGAAATGTCCTCAGAAAAAGAGTTTAGAAAAAAAAATGCCAATTTATTTCTGAAAAAGAAAAAATCTAATATTTTTCCATACGTTGCATGAAATATTTGATAAAAAATATGAATCCACTGCGGGGAACTTTATAAACTGAAAAATATCGGTCGAAAAAAGAAGTTTAGAAAAAAATGAAAGCTCTTTTCGATGAAGAATTAAATTCTTCACCAGAAAGCTTTTTGGGATTTTGCTCTAAGCCTCATAGCTTCAAAGATATTTTGAAAATAACGTGTATGATTTTTTTATTGCCAGAGATGACTCTAGAATAAGGAGTTTTATTAATTTGGAAAATATCTCAGGGAGAAAAACTTCTTGAGAAAAAATTCTGAACGAAATTGTTGTCAGGAACTTCATGTTCTACACAAAACATCTGCCACCATTTCTGAAACAATTAGTTGTGGAGACAATAGTAGAATCATCAGCATTAAAATCTGGAGAACGCATTCTCTTCACTATTCATCTTCTCATTAATTTCTATAAAATTAGTAATTGGTGATAGACATTGAAGATACCAATTTTGGAATTAATTTTCCCTGTTGAGTTCGAATTATCGCTCCCTCAAATTTCGTCAGTAATGATTCTTTCATGATTATCATTGTCACCTTCAGATTGGTATACGACAGAGAGACAGGAAGGCCCAGAGGCTTTGGTTTCATCGAGTACAAGGATCAGCAAACAGCCCTGAAGGCAATACAAAACCTGAATGGCTTCGAGATCGGGGGAAGGGTCCTCAGAGTGGACAATGCATCTACTCAGAAGAGTCGTCCAGACATGCGAAGTCGAAATGAATACGACTGAATGGGCGATTTACAACTATCTTCCACTTTTTTTTTCTTTTCTATATAAAAGCGTAACGATTGATATGAAATTGTCGAAGTGAGCTGGATGATTAAAATAATGAAGAGAGGAGTATGTGCAAGCGGAATTATCAATGTTGCTGTTTTTCAGATTATGAAAATGATAAATAAAAAGATGACGAAATGAATTAATAGGGAGTTATGTTTTATGTTATTTTTTTCCTAAATAATTAATAATTTTTGTAGAAGCTAGAAGTGAAAACTGACCGAACAGATGATCGGCTTTGGAAAAAAATGGGTGGTTTCAAAGGATGAAAAACCGAAATTGACTGAAACTGAGAATGCAACCGCTCTTAGCTTTTAACCCAGGAGTCACGTCGGGGACGTGGCGGTGCGGCGACTCCCAACGAGAAGAACCTAAAAACGCCGACGCCCTACAAAATGGGGAATTTTTTTATTGAGACATGTCTCGATCACGCATGATGCGACAGAAATCAAACTTCTGTAGTCTTTGGAGGAAAAAAAAGTCGTTAGACCTCTTTGAATACATTATGAAGAAATTTTTCACCTGTTGTCATTTAATTCATCTTTGACATTCCAATTTATTTAAATCATGAATTTACTACACTGTCACCAGAAGATAGGTGTACACCATGTTTCCACGTCACAAGACATTGACAAGTGCTCAAATAAATAAACTGCCATAATAATGATGAGACAAAAAAGAGCCATATCTCTTCCGTTGGCGTGAAATAACGCTTTGCCTTATAAAGATTCGTCAAGGTAAAACCGAAGAACTCTCTACTTCATTGGCTTCTTACCAGCCAGGAATGGGTGGATGTAAGTCCACATTGTTCATGAACTTATATCGACAATTGTGCAACATATTCACAACGAAGGATATCAAACGTATTTCTATATCATGATTTGATGTAAATCTAGACCACGAAGCACTTTTGAAAATTCAAAGAAGCTGCCTCGATTCTGAAATGAACAAAATGAATTTCTAACTGATTTCTAAATGATCAAACGCATTTCTACTTCATGTGGCACCTACGAAAACTTGTATGGAATAGATTTGATGTAAATCTGAACCACGAAGCACTTTAGAATCTTCAATGAACAAAATGAATTTCTAACTAAAGAGGACGGAGAGCTGGAAGTACAAAGGAAAAGAGGTAGAGGTAGTGAAGGAGTTCAAGTATTTAGGGTTCTGGTTCACGACAAAAAATACATTCGGAAAGCATACAAGAAAACTATATGGGAAGGCCTAATTGAGATGAAGGTAAGAAACCAACGCCTATCGATCCAGAATTATATTTTCGATAAATGAATAGCGGTTTCATTCTTTAATCTTAATAAGGAGCGGAGAACTGAATTTTCAAAGCGCATCCAGAAATACATTTCTCCGTCCCTAATTAAAATGAAGGAATGAAATCATCGCCTGTCGATCGAGAATTATATTTTCAATAATTGAAGGCGGTTTCATTCCTTAGTCTCAATTAGGAGCGGAGGAATGAATTTTCAAAGCGCCGTTGAGGAAATCCAGACAACTTCCCATTCAGAAATACATTTCTCCTCCCCTAATTAAAATGAAGGAATGAAATCATCGCCTGTCGATCGAGAATTATATTTTCAATAATTGAAGACGGTTTCATTCCTTAATCTCAATTAGGATGCGGAGGAATGAATTTTCAAAGCGCCGCTGAGGAAATCCAGACAACTTCCCATTCAGAAATACATTTCTCCTCCCCTAATTAAAATGAAGGAATGAAATCATCGCCTGTCGATCGAGAATTATATTTTCAATAATTGAAGACGGTTTCATTCCTTAATCTCAATTAGGATGCGGAGGAATGAATTTTCAAAGCGCCGCTGAGGAAATCCAGACAACTTCCCATTCAGAAATACATTTCTCCTCCCCTAATTAAAATGAAGGAATGAAATCATCGCCTGTCGATCGAGAATTATATTTTCAATAATTGAAGACGGTTTCATTCCTTAATCTCAATTAGGATGCGGAGGAATGAATTTTCAAAGCGCCGCTGAGGAAATCCAGACAACTTCCCATTCAGAAATACATTTTTCCCCCCCTAATTAAAATGAAGGAATGAAATCATCGCCTGTCGATCGAGAATTATATTTTCAATAATTGACAGCGGTTTCATTCCTTAATCTCAATTAGGAGCGGAGGAATGAATTTTCAAAGCGCCGCTGAGGAAATCCAGACAACTTCCCATTCAGAAATACATTTCTCCCCCCCTAATTAAAATGAAGAAATGAAATCATCGCCTGTCGATCGAGAATTATATTTTCAATAATTGACAGCGGTTGGTAACCCCGTGGGGTTCACATCGGCCGACCCCCGCGTCCTGAGAAATTAAACGATATTTGAAGGATAAAGGGAAGAAACAATTGGAAAAGGTGTAAATAATGGTCGTGATAGCTCCTAATTCACGTGGAAATGTTATCCGGACAATTGGCGTGGATGCAGGACAATGCTGAGGGATATTGGCAGACGCGTAGAAAGTTTGGTTATGGTGGAAACGGAATAGACACCAGCCCAATGTTTCACCTGAAATCTGAAGCAACGCCCCTGCTGAGTAGAACGAGGATAGAAGCAAGATATGTGAAAGAAAATGGAAAGATTTAACTGATTCTGGTGATAACCGACGAACACGTGGAAAGCTGAGTGACGGTGGAGAGGGGTATTGTCTCTGCGGAAGCAAAAGAGGGGTATGAAAATGGTAAGCTACATGTAAATTAAACAAAACGGGAAGATTCGTATTGAAATTGGGAAAGCTCGAAGAACATTCAGTGAATGTGAATGCGCTGAAATGCTACGTGGTGAGTGAGGAGATGCATAGAGGCGGTGGAAGCAATGGAGGCGCGTGAGGCACCTGGAGTGCCAGTGATCTGGACCAGTGTCCTGCCTTCATGACGATCAACCCACCCAATATAAGGAATTTGTCTCTTTGCGAAGGAAGTGGAAAAACTCTCATCGGACAACTATAGGACTTTCAGTTCGGAAAGTGTCGCAACTATCAATGTGTGTGATTATTGTTATTACTGCCACTATGAGATCTATTGTATGTTATCAACAAAATGTACAAAAGAAGAAATTCATGTACTTGAGGAATAAATTATTATTATTATTAATTGACAGCGGTTTCATTTCTTAATCTCAATTAGGAGCGGAGGAATGAATTTTCAAAGCGCCGCTGAGGAAATCCAGACAACTTCCCATTCAGAAATACATTTCTCCCCCCCTAATTAAAATGAAGGAATGAAATCATCGCCTGTCGATCGAGAATTATATTTTCAATAATTGACAGCGGTTTCATTCCTTAATCCAATTAGGAGCGGAGGAATGAATTTTCAAAGCGCCGCTGAGGAATTCCAGACAACTTCCCATTCAGAACTACATTTCTCCTCCCCTAATTAAAATGAAGAAATGAAATCATCGCCTGTCGATCGAGAATTATATTTTCAATAATTGACAGCGGTTTCATTCCGTAATCTCAATTAGGAGCAGAAATGAAGGAATGAAAGAGAGAATATTTTTTTTTCAGAGAATATTTGATGAAATAGAGAATATTTTTCCCCTCTGCGAACGCTCCAGTCCCACGTAATTCTACTTAGTAGAATCTGTTACAATAGTGCAGTAATTAAATTGGCCGCTGATTATTAGAGGACTGTATCATGCCACACTCCCTAGCATAAAACCATTAGGCAGTTACTTATTAATTGACGCGACCATAATACAATCCGCAGATTAACGCAATTTTTCAGCTGCTCACAAGTTGGTGATTTTACTCCCGAATGTAGCGTAGGTGAACCGTGTGAGGCCTTCATGATCACATCCCCGCACATGAGCATTAATGAGCATCGAACAGAGGTAGAGCCCGAAATTTAATATTTCTGAACTCCCATTTGATTCGCAGAAAGAATGCGCCATCTCTAGGTCGGCCGCGGAACTATTTCAATTCAAAATATTCCCCTTCCCATTCTCTGTTCACATTTTTTAATATTCATCAATCCTCATTACATTCACAAACAAAATAGCTTCAATAATTCGGAAATATAAAATCATGAATTTTTCGATTGTGAGAATCCTCACAATGACGCCTACGAAAATTTCTATGGAATAGATTTGATGTAGATCTAGACCACGAAGCACTTTTGTAAATTCAAAGAAGCCTCCTCAATCCTAAAATGAACAAAACGTATTTCTAGCTGATTGCAAAATGATCAAATGCATTTCTACATCATGTGACACCTACGAAAACTTCTATGGAATAGATTTAATGTAAATCTAGACCACAAAGCACTTTTGTAAATTCAAAGAAGCCTCCAAAACCCTAAAATCAACAAAACGAATTTCTAACTGATTTCCAAATGATCGAAGGTATTTCTACATCATGTGGCACCTACGAAAACTTCTATGGAATAGATGTCAATCTAAACCATGAAGCACTTTGCAAATGCAAAGAACTCTGTCCAACCCTGAAAGGAAAGAGATAAAACGTATATAGCGCCAACAAAAACTGGATTCAGTGTCGCCCTGCATTATATATCACAAGGTGTCTCAAAACTCACGAAAAATCAAATTGTATTATTAAAGACTGGGCAAAATGGGTTTAATGCTGATTCCTATTTTTTTACCTGTCCCATATCGTATACTAAATCTCGCTCGAGAGATTGATTAAGCGACCACAAACTCTCATGAATTTTAGCAAGTCTTTCAAGGAAATAAATGGCCTTAAGTACTCTTGGACAACCTTAAAGTATTTATGGCGGGGTGGAGATGTTGAAGGTCTGACCATTTCGACCATTTTTGTGTTCAAAATATTTTTTCAATAACTTGTATTTTTTCTCACATTTCAAGCGGTCGTTTTTATTTCTCGCTTGTCTTTTGGATAATTTGAAAATAATTAATATGGAAATAAAAAATGACAGCGTTGTGCCATTCGAGGAACAAGTTGGCAGCACTGATTCACTCAGCTTTTATGTGCCTTCCCATAGCAATATGTATCATCACAACACCATTCGTATTGGCCGCGCATACCCCGTGACGTTGACGCCATTTCAAGCTGCGCACGTATAATTCCTGTTTCATGATTTTTTAAATTATCCCTTCTAAAGAATGCTCTTACTGTTGAAAAATTTTGTCTGAAATTTCCGGCACTTTTTTTAAATTTTTATCGAATTCAATTACCACCGAAATTTCAAAGAATTTTGTCTTTAAAAATTCAGAATTTCATGGAAAAATCAAAGAGAACCGTAAATTTAAGTTCCATTTTCCCTGAAAATAAATAGATATATTCTGGAATTTTCAGGATAGTGACACTAAATGATATTTAGGGGGAAAAATCATGGAATTTCATTTTTCACTGAAAATTCTATGTAATTTGGCACTGAATATTCAAATGACGTTCGAAATTCAAATAAATTAACGAATTCTCATCTGTATGCTGCTTAAAATTCGGGACGTTTACTGAATTTTCAGTGAAACCTGAAATTTCATTTTTTTTCTAACAGTATGGGCCACTTGCATTTTTTTTTTATGCTCCGCATGAAAGCTCCACACAAGTGCGAAATTTCAGAAAAATGGCGACTTTTTTCTGTTTTCAATTTATTTTCCGAATTCCCATAAGAGCCCGTGTTAAAATGCATTTTTTAGAAAAAATCCTGTGTTTCAGCCGTTCTTCTAGGCTATCTAGGATTTTAAATAAAATTTGAAAAAATCAAAGAATGTATGAAAAAATCACCAGTTTCTTGACTTTTTATCGCCCCCCCCCCCCTCACCTCGCCGCAAATACGTTAAAAAATGAATTTCTTAAAAATGAATAAATACTTCATATTTAAATAATTGTCAATATTATCTTTTTTCTTCTGCCACTTGAAGGACATCATCGTGAAGAATTTAAGTTCATAATGAAAATTCTTACCTTCACCAAAATGACTGAGACACCCCTCTCAGCACAAATCATCTGCAGAGTTGATGTTCAATGACAGGTTCCACGATGATGAGCATGACCCTGATTTTTCATTACAGTTCAATCTCGCTGGGATCACCGATGATGCCGTCTAGTTTGAGGGAAAATATGCGTTCATATACACAAGTACAACAAAGTCACCAAATATCTCGCGACAAACACCAAGTTCAGTTTTTAGAGTAGTTGCCCACTGAATTCTGGTGTCGGTGATTCACTTCACAATGTTCTATTCTCCATAAAATCCGACAAAATTAGTATAAATGCTGTTCGGGAGTTGTCCGATGTGGAATGAGGGGGGAGCGTTTTGGCGGGACGAAACTGACTACAATCAAAATGGCTGCCAATGGCTAGTTTCATGACACAATTCTCGCCATGACGCGGCGAGAACAAAAAAGTCCTACTGCGCACACTTCTACGCAGCGAGAAGTAGTGACATTTTGTTTGTCGAAAAATGAACAATGAAAAATATACATCTGATTCGCATGTTTTTCTAGTCCCCAGTTGAAAACGAATATCGGATGAATGCCATTATGAATTATTAGTCAGAATTGGTGAAATTGTGTGATCAGTGTGTGGCCTTGGGTGGCGGAGGGGGAGCCAGCGCCACTTTTCGCGGGAAAGCTCATTGTCTCTGTCTAATCGAGTCCTTACCGAATGGAATTTTCCAGAAAATATTCTCCAACGAATAAAAAAGAATGCATTTGAGAATGCACGGAGCCATAAATTCTAATATTGTTGGACAATGGAAGGGATTGATTTCGTTCTCTAGATCATTGTGCAGTGGCTCCCCAGACCTATGGAAAATACTGTTAAATACTCACTGTAGTCCACGTCTGACGGTCTCAAGGAAGCAACAATAATATTCTAAAATTTATTTTTGATTCCAATTATTCTGCGATCCTCGCTGAAAGGCCGGTGTTAACGTCGCGGAGAGTGAAGGCCCAATGAGCTGGGCCACTAGCCACTGTTCTGTTCGCCCGCCCTTCTTCCCGCCCCCCTCCGCGCGGATTGGCACCGCGAATCAGGAGTGAAACAAAGACACTCGTCACTGCTGAATTTCTATTGGTTTAAAAAACCGTTGATCGTTTAAAAATACCTGTCTTTAGTTTTTTATTTGACTTTTGTGGTATCATTTTTTCATAAAAATCTAAAAATTTTACGTTTTTTTTTTGTTAAATAAATAAATAAATTTTGGAGCAAAGTAAATAAAAAAAAACGATCTGTCAACATCAAAAATCGAGTTAAATATAGCCATTGTAGAAACTAGTTAATACCCGCCAATTTTCGTGTAGAACACAGGGTACTTCAGACTGCTTTTGACACAGCGAGTACAAAACCGAAAAATCGAAGTTGGCGTAATAACGGGAGCTAATTTTTTGTGAAAAAATGGTAGTCACAACTGGAAGTGCAGCAAAGAAGGGTAAATGTGAGTATATGTCTGATTGGAATCCTTTATTTATGTTATTCAGTGTTGAGGACAGCCTCTAGGCTCAGTTTATCATTCAATTTGTCCTTTAACCCCTTTCCCTCCCCCTCACAACCCAATTTAATTTTGTTAATCCTCAATCGTTTGGCTATCGATGATTTATCAGCGATTCTGTCTGTTTTCGTGTGTATTTGCCTCCTTGCCCTGGACACAAGGAGGCAAATACTTAAAATAAAAGTGACAAAGGGAACGTGGATGGGTCAGGGTTCACCCTTGATTTTTCTCTTTTTGGTGCGATTGGGGCACAATAAACACTTGATGTTTTTCATGTAAATGATTCATTCAATTCCTGATAAAATAAGATATGTTTCCACAGAAAATACAATTCTGTTATCCTTTGTGATGAACCTAGGCAGAGCTTATTTGATAAATTATTTTTTGAGTTATAAACATTGCAAATAAGGTAAAAGCTATCTACTTTGCCTCATCTCTTGACATTAATTCTTGACTGCAATTCCCACGTGGAAAAAATTGACTCTTTTTTCAGGAGACTCCATAATTTATGAACATTTGGAGAAACTCCAAAAGTATTAAAAAATAATAGGAATATGAATAAGACTATCAAATTTGAGAAATTTTTCATTGATTTGGTCAATGGAAATTGACGAAAAATGGAGTAGAAGATATGGAGATTTATTTTTAATAAGGAAATTGACTATTCATTCTTCATAAATATCTTTTTTTCTGGGTATTTGAAGCAACAATGTGAGAAATTAGACTCTTTGATTTTTTTCATCTCTATTTCAATTTTTTTTAATGTCCCATTTTTAATATTTGAAGTTATGCTGTTAACTCGGCGGTTAATGAGTATACTGGTTGTAATTTGGTATTCTGTTCTTTCAGAGAAGGACGTCAGGAGGTACATGAGACTTCTGAGCCGAGTATTACTCAAGCAGCTGGCCAAAATGATGAGGCTGCAGATGAAGGTAAACAATGGAAAGATTTTATTGTTGTTTCAATTGATGCATTTGAAAATTTCTTTTATTGCAAGAAGTGAGAGGAAGAAACAAAATTCTTCAAAACTAAAAAATCGTGAGTTTGATAAATATAACTAATTCGCGTTGTTTTCATTCGGAAATCTGTGGTATTCACTATTTTTATCCTTGACACATTGAATTCATTATGGCTATTGCTAATCTGAATCATTCCATTTCAAACTATCTGAATCATTCATTCCAACTTTCAAAGAAAGTTGAAAGCAGGATGATGCTGCCATTATTGCACTACTGGACATTACAAATGGTAATGAATGAAAAAATGACTGCATTTAAATAGATTTAAACTTGAATTCAGAATTAAAATGCCGAAGGACTCCCTCGCGGAACATGCAGGAGGTCTTTTCAGTCGAGAAAATGATCTATTCGTAAAACAACCATTGAAACTAGAAATTTAAATCGATAGAAAATAAAAGTAAAAAATTAAAAATTTTTTTTTTCATCGGGGCCAAAGTGTCAGACCTAGGATTTTTTCAGGGGGAAAGTCGACTTTCGACAAAATTGATTTTTTTGGCCGAGTGAATGTTGATTCCGGTGATTCAAGCGACGGGCTATCCAGAACTCTCAAAAGTATTTGGAAAAAGTAAAAAATGAAAATTTTTTTTTTCACCTGGGGCCAAAGTGTCAGACCATCAAAGGCATTCCCTCGGGGTGCCTGGTGTGCACCCCGAGGAATGCAGATACTCTTCGCTTCTTTCTTCCACTCATGAATAATTTTGAACAATTCGAATAAGTCAAATGAAAAACATCTATCAGTGCTCAATTCCAAATTAAAACAGAACCACCAACATCTCAACAGTATTCGTGTCGGTGTGGTGCATGGGTGACCTCAGCGCTGTCACAAGGTCACAAGAAGAACTAGGGATCGTAACCACTTTGAATCCCAGAATCGAACCGGCCTTCCACTACAGTTCGACCTCTTCGGTACAAACGACCCCGCCCCGCTTTTCAAAGATTTCCAATTTGCCGACAGTGGAAAATGAAGTCGACTGTATCGTCTGAAATTTGACAAACTGGATTGTTCGAATAACCCAGTGCCGACGAGATTGTTGTTACTCTATTCGGTATAAACAAACAATTGACGAACAAAATGACTAATTCATCTATTACGGATCAGTCACTGATGGACAAATCAATGAGGAGTGTTTTTGGTAAGAATTTAGTCCATAAAATACCCCATAACTACTTGATCCTTCTGTAAACACTTCTGTGCACTCCCATCCAACGTATTAACATTTTTTTCAGTTGGAAATATTCCGTACGAAGCTACAGAGGAGAACCTGAAGGATATCTTCAGTGAAGTTGGGCCAGTACTTTCATTCAAGTAAGAAATAAGTCATCAAGCATGAGCTTTCATTGTTGATCGAAATAGAATGATAACCTATCAAGTGATGCATTCTCTCATTTCCCTCACCTTGCATGCATTCTTGTAATTATTCTCATCTTCATTAATTATTCTAATGAATCGAATTCAACATCTGTTGACTTTATCCATAATTTTTAATCCAAATTGCATTTTTTTCGGTAGAAATCGACGAAAAAATACACTACTTTTTCATAGAATTTCTTTTTCTTTCACAAGTGTAAACATTTCTTTATTTCTCTAAGAATTACAGAAAATCACTCTAGAATAATAATAAATGCAGGCAAAAAATTTCTCAAATATTCTGTTCAATCTTCTTAACAATTCATGAAAATGAACTATGAATTCTGAAAATAGGTACCTTTCAATTCCAGTGATTTCCTGTGGATCACAATCTCATTATCCTCCTGAAGTTATCAAAAAATCCCTCTTCATAATGATAAATCCATCAGCCTGAACATTTATCAACAAAAAAGTCTCTCAAAAGCTAGTGAAGCATGAATTACCCAAACAATAAGTTACAGTCTTAATAACCAATGCTTACCGCTCCCCAATTTCTCATTCTCTCATTTTCCCCCTCTGCATGCATTCTCGTAATTATTTCCATGTCAATTCATTATTCCAATGCTCCCAACAGATTAGTATACGACCGCGAAACAGGAAAACCCAAGGGCTATGGTTTCTGCGAGTACAAGGATCAGGAGACCGCTCTGAGTGCAATGAGAAACCTAAATGGTTACGAAATTGGTGGAAGAACCCTGAGAGTCGACAATGCATGCACAGAGAAGAGTCGCATGGAGATGCAGAGTCTTCTGCAGGGTCAGAACACCGATAATCCTTATGGGGAGGCTGTGCAGTCTGACAAAGCACCAGAGGCCATCTCCAAGGCAGTAGCTTCACTACCACCAGAGCAGATGTTCGAGCTGATGAAGCAGATGAAACTCTGCGTTCAGAATAATCCCAATGAGGCGAGGCAGATGCTCCTGCAGAATCCACAGCTGGCTTATGCCCTCCTGCAGGCTCAGGTTGTCATGAGAATTGTGGATCCTCACACTGCTGTCAGCATGCTGCACAAAGCCAATCCCATTCCCTCGGTGGTGAATACAGTGGAGAAGACACCGATTCACACACTTCCACCCAGGATCGAGGAGCCCTGGGCTCCTATCAGGCAGCCTCCGCTTGCCGTCAATCCACCTGCACCTATAGCTCCAATTTTTTCAAGTAAGTGGATTAAGGGGATTTTATTGAATATTTTATTGAGTAGTGAATGGATCAGTCCACGAATAAAAATCATAAAAAACTAGGGAAATAGATAGAAAATTCTACTGCATTTTTATTTTGGTCGATTCTCTTGAAGAATTCTACAGGTTTACTGTGCATTTTTTAATATACAATTCCTAATAGAAACTATTTTATTAAAAAAATTAATAGAATGTATTTTTTTGTATTTTTTAGACTTTTTTTCTAGGAATTCCTCGACATGAATTTTTTAGGTTTTTTCCAGTCTGTTTTTATTTTCTTTCATTCAACAATTGAAACAAAAAAGGAATTTCTATAGAAAATATTCCAATATTCTATTGATTTTTTAAAAATAGAATTGGGCAAAAATTAATAGAAATTGAATAGAATTTTCGGTCTTTAGTTTGTTTCAGTCAGATTTATTCAATTGAATATTTTCTGCAATATGTTTGTAGGTCAAGATGTTGATTTGAGGACTTTGGACAGACAGATCGATCCCAGATTAGCAAGGATGGACCAGGATCTGAGAACCCAGACGCAGCCACCACCAGTGCCAGTAGCTCCCCCAGTAATTCCCCCGGTAGTGGACACTCGAGTTCCGGTTTTCAATCCCCCAGACAAGTAAGTCCAACAAAAGTAACTTGAATTACCACGAGAATTAATAGATTCACTCCTTTGATTAGCACTCTTCCTGTGGAGGGAATCGAGAGGTTCAAACAATTTTTATCAATTCTCAATCCTTCCCTCGTCCCCATCATTACCATTGAAACATTCTCTTCCATTTGCAGCAGCTTCTGTCGAGATCCAAGAGCAGATCGATTTGGGAGAGATCCTCGTGACCCCCGGGATCCCAGAATGACAGTGGACCCCAGGATGAACAAATCCACTCGTGAGTAATCAACAAATTCCAATTAAAAATGCAAATACCTTTATTATTCAATTTATCGTCATAAAAAATTATTTTGTGTGGTTGAAATTCTCTGGATATCTGATTTATTCTAGCTCCAGTCCCAGTGGCACCTCCTCCAGTCCCTCGTCCAGTGCTGGCACCAGTCGCACCTCCAGCCAACGTCAACACAGTGAACACACCAACTTCTGCAACTGGACTTTCCGCATCCAGTACAGCTGCGTCGAGACTCATGGCAGGCATGTCACCCGCCGGAAGCATTCCCAGTGGAGCCTCTGACCAGGAGAAGGTAAAGATAACACTTCCAACTTTATCATCAGAACAATGAACTTCATTTTGCTGTCCCTGAGTACAAACTCTGGAGAATATTCCGACGAAAAATGTAGCCCCATGGTTAATGAAAAATCATTCCTCCATTGTATTTCTGATGTTTTGATTTTTTGGATTTACGTTCTAGGCTGCATTGATAATGCAAGTGCTCCAGCTGAAGGACGAGCAGATCGCCATGCTCCCACCTGAGCAGCGGCAGAGCATTCTGGTGTTGAAAGAGCAGATTGCTAAGAGCACCCAAAGATAAATTTAAGGGTGAACAAGATTGAAGTTTTATTACATTGTGAATGATTTTTGAAATATTAAAGTTATCGATGATAACTTACTTTTTTCGTAATATCGTGACTGTAACCGTGATGGGAAGTTTTCTATTAAACCTTTATTATAAACTCAAGATACACAGAATGATTATCTAAATGTTCTTTTATTATGAACGTAATAAAATTATTACAAAGTATATCATTATTGAATGAGCTTCATCTTTCTTCACAAATCCCTCTATTTTTATATTTATTATATCTTATATCGTAGGTAATAAGATATAGGTAAATGTACTAAGTCACGTTTCCAAATATTCTTCGTAAAAAATTAGAAACTTTGAATATTTAACAAGTTAAATATGAAGTCTTGTCTTCTCTTGTTGGTGTTTTATCTTTCTTAATATTCTGGAAGCTCGCAGTCTTCTTTTTCTTATTATTATCGCAAAGAATACTAATACAAGAAAAAAAGAATGTAAATTAAGTGTATGGCATAAAGAACTAAATTGTTGACGATAAATTTTTTGGTATTGATATTCTCTTCACAATGGTTGAATATCACTCATAAAGATAATAAACCCAATTACAATCATGAATAAAAAAAAAGTTAAATATTTAAATTATTCATTTGCCTTAAACATGTGGAATCTCTCGATTTGATGATGAATTTTCCTAATTCCTGGATTCGTTTATTTATTTCTTCTTTTTTACTTCTCACTTTTCTCGTTATCTAGTAATTAAAACTCTATAAAACACACCTAAAATAAAGCATTAATGAAGTGAATAAACTTTGGATATCCCTCCAACCCCAGTCACACAACCTCCTATCCCAGGAACATTCCCTTCTCCAGCAGGGACTGATGTAGAGCACCTCCAACTTCTCCCCAGGACAACTGAACATAATAACATAATAAACCGATTCACAATATTATGTCTTAAGTTGATAACACGAAAATATCTGATTCAATCATGAAAATTTTCACTCCAGTATGAAATAATATAATAAATCCATTCATAATTGGATTGATAACATGAAAACGTCTGATTTCTTCTATCATCCATCTAAAAAACTCTCCCCGAGTCCATAAAACCAAAAAAACAATCAATTGACCGAACTCAGCCGTTCTCCCCTCAACTACGCAAACTCCTCTTCCAGGACCTTCCTGACATCCTTCTTGAACATTCCCTTCTCTATCAGAGACTGATACAACAGCATCTGGCACTCCCTATCAACAAACAACTGGATACTGAGGCAGTCCTCGATCCTAGCCTCCACCCTGATGGTCAAAGGATGATTCTTGGAAGTTCCAAACTTCTTCAGCCACTCCCTGGCCATCGAGTTGTCTTCCCCCACCCTGAGCCCATGAAGATAGCACTTGATGGCAGTGGCAGGGACCCTCAGCCACGTCTCCTTAGGCACCCTAAGATCAGTGGAGTTGATCCACTCAGAATTCCCCCAGTCGACGAAATTCACCTGAACGATGGTGGTCTCCCCATCATTCATGACTGAGACGACCCTTCCCCTGTACCAGCTCTGGTCACTCTCATAAACAGCGCAACAGGGCACCCCGGCCTCGATCACCTCCAGCAGTGGCTGCTCCTCCGCCTCCTTATCCATCTCCTTCATGAGTTTGCTGTACATCTGAGAAAGAGCTGTCAGAAATTCACACCCAGGAGTCCCCGCTGGATGCACCCAGATGGTGGTGGCCCTGTCCCTCGAGACCTCCCCGAGAGCCCCATAAAACATCTCGATTCCATCGGGAAGAGTGATGGCAGGATATATCTCGACGCAATTATCGTGGAAATCCCTGATGAGTTTCTCTGCACGAACACTGACAACCTCGTCATACGGTGGGGTCACCTCCTCAGGGCTGTCCGACACGTACTGAGCATCAAGATCAATCTCAGACATGAGTATCTCCTCGGGATCATCTGCCACGAGCACCTCCTCAACGACGACATCAGTGTCTCCACTTCCTGAACTCTCACCTGTGTCGATGATCACCTCAATCATGAACTTCCTCATGATATTAACGATATTCTCATGAGGATGTGATGGATGGCTCACAGCAACCTCAAGATGGTGACTCATCCTCTGAAGAATCTCCACCCTCCACTTCCTCCCCACGAGGATATTGTGCATCCTGTCGAGATCGAGTTTGGTCCAGCTCTTGAAAGTATTATTGGGTGTCATCCCGAAGATCTTGCACTTGCTGACGAGAATGGGAACATCCTCGAACATCAGCTTCTTCCGCACCTCCGAAGTGCTCATCCACTCGATGTTTCCATAATCGACAAAACAGACAACAAGATGATTATTCTTCTTCCCCCTGACCTGCGCTCTGTGCCAGGTGTTGAAGCGATGCATCTTCACAATGCAGAGATCCCCAATCTGCCAGTTATTGATGCCATCGACGTTCCTGTCCATCTGATACACGTCCTGCAGCTGTCGATTGATCTCAGTGAGCTTGAGATTGTTCTCAGCCGTCACGAAGTACACGAATGCCTTCCAGTCGACAAAAGTGGCTGGCCCAATGAATATGTCGTCAGGAATTGCCTCAGGAGGCAGCCAGGCTGGCGAATCCTCAGGTAATACCGAGCAGTAGAGATTCGGCTCCTCAGTGGGCACATCAGACTCATCAGACTCATAATCCTTGATGGTCCCCGAGTCATCAGTGTCGTCATCACTCGTCTCCTTTGCCTCTTCAAACACCTCGACAACTGGATTTTTATCCCCGATGACGAGTGCCTTCTCCACATCAGCCCCCAGGATCTTGACCTTGGTGTCACTGAAGTTCCTGATGGGCAGTGCCAGCCCAGCCTCCACCAACTTCTGATTGATGACATTGACCTGTCGTTCCGCTGGCTCCACAGCGCCAAAGCACTTGGTCTCCTCCACGAAGAAGTCTACAATCATGGGGGAGTCGTCCTCAGATATCTTCGAGATGAAGAACCTGCTGCCCTGGTTCTCCTCGACGATCTCCTTCAGCTTGTCGCAGGAGGCTGTGGGCCACTGGACTGAGCCCCCAGGTGGGTAGATCCCCCCTAGCTTCACCAGAACAACGTTCGCTGGGACGTCGTTGAACTCCTCGAGGAGGGGCTGGAGGTCCTCGAGAGACACCACCAAGGAGTCACCGATGTCCAGGAGGTACACTAAAACCTCCTCTGGGGAGTTTATCTCCCTGATCTCAGCCCTTCTGAAGACGTTTGAGGTCTTCAGCTTTATCACGCAGACATTGCCAACCAGCCAGGCACGATCCTTGCTCGCTTTGAACGTTCTGTACGACCTCTGCAGGGCTTTGTCCATCTCTGAGTACTTGTCGTCGATGTCGAAGGGGGAGACGTAGATCTCGTCTGGGGAGATGATCCTCAATGGTGTCACGTGCACCTTCCAGGGGTCGTCCTCCCTGATGTCCCTGATCTTGGGGAAGATGTCCTTGGGGGCCTTCTTCGTTGGGGTTCTCAAGGCGTCTGATGAACTGTTATCGCGTGTCTTTGATTTCTTGCACTTGCCCTTATATCGTTTCGGCTTTATCTTCACTGACTCACAGGAGTCGGGGGAGTTCAGCAGTTCAGGGATCCTCCGCGGATTGGGCTGTCTCGATGCTGGCCCTGTACTCTCAGCAAAACCCATTTTAACAAGGCGCGCATTCAGATTCTCGTTGTTGAGGGTGTCGACAACCGTCACTGAGAAGTAGTCATCGATTTTCTCGTAGGCAACGAGTTTAACGCAAGCCTGCATCCATTCACGTAGTTGAATCATAGCTTGGGGTGACCACACTCCATTCAGTGGGGCTACATCCTTCAGGGATATTTTAATTGCCTGTCGGGGAAGGGAATTAAAAGACTATCATCGAGGTTTTTGCAGGATGTCAACTGCGGTAGGGGGTGGTGGGGT